TATGTACATATATATGTATATGTATTTATGTATGTATGTATCTATCTATAGATAAATAGATATATACTTCTTGATGACATTAAAATGATTTCTAAGAGCATTAAAATAGCATTAAATTACAGTTACTCATTCCTGTTTAAGCCCTGTAAGTCACAATCTGTTAATTTTTTATAATCATCCTGAGTAGAAAGTAAATCCTTGAAATTTAGGATTTAAAAAAAGAAAAGAAAAATGTGTTTTCAGTGTAGCTAAAGCTACTAAATGTTATCTCTCCCGTAACCATTATTATCATCTATTACAAAGACATTTCCTCTGATCTTTCTTTCCGTTCAGGTTTTCTTCTGGCTGTTGTTTGGAGCAAAGTGACTTTCCGAGGCTTTCCTGGAACTTTCACTCCCACTCAAAAAACAAACAAAAAAACAAAAACATCATGCCTGGATCCAAGCTGCCACTTCTATATCTTTGTATCAGCGCTGTTTGCTGCCAAAGCAGGAAGTTTCCTGCCTTCCAGAGGAGTGTAATTGCTTTGTGCACAGTGCAGTAGTTCAGTGATGGAGCGTGGGAGGTGTGTGCATTGGTGTGCGTGTGTCTGTCTGGCTGCATGTTTGAAACAAAAGGATGGAACCGATTGGGGGGGAGAGAAATATCTTGCTTTTGAGTAGGAGGTTGTTTTTGCTGGAAAGTGACAAAAGTAATGAAGCAATATTTTGGTGTGAGAGACATGCTGCCTAATAAAAAATGTAGTCTTTCTGCTGTAACACACATACGCACACCTGAGACATGTATGCTGGAGCACAGTTGACATTAATGCCAAGAATGTCAATGCTGTGGAAAAAAAGAGACCCTAATGTAGCAATGTAGGTTTTTTCTTTAAAAAGTACTGCCAGAATGTATTATTTCTAGTCTATGCCAAAGTACAACAGAGATGCACTTTTTTCCTCCCTTAAAAAAACTTAAAAACACACTCTGATCGCCAAATTTCTTATTTAAACTCAGTTTCAGTGTGTTTTCTTTTTAATCATTTAGGTTTCATGTCAGCAGACCTCATTATTGGAAAGATGCATGAAAGACGGTGTGTGTATGTGTGTTACAAGGTTTTTAATAACGAAATGTTGGATATTTTTTTCTTTTCTCTTATTCTCTGTAAAACATTTATGAAAAGCGGCGCTATAGGCAATCATGCTGTTGATGATGGAGACGCGTTTGTATGTACGGCTTTTATTTATTCCTCTGAGGGGTTTTTAGGTCAGCAGGTTGCCTCATCTTACAGATATTATTACAACATTGGGTCAGAACGAGGCGAGAGCGGCACGCATAAAGTTGGACAAGGCTAAAGAAGTAATCCTGGGATACGTAATGCACATCAAAGGTGGAGGGAGAGAAAACACATAGGCCTAAAGAAGAAGGTTTGGAGTTTGTTTTTTTATGTTTGCTTTGAATAGCTTGGAATAGAAGGCCATGAGAAGACCGATGGGAGAACCTGAGTTTTTAAGGATTCGTGCTGATGAAATTTGAACACACACAGCGTGCCCAGAATTTCAGACTTGTTCACAAATGCACCGTTTTTTGCAGCATCAATCTCCTCTAGAGAGAGTTTTGCAACTTATGATCCAGGACATCAGTTGGGTTTAAGATTTGTATTATATGAGACTAGATGCATATGTTAGTGATGAGGTCCCAACTAGCGATATTTGTATCAAAGCTTTCCTGCCTTTGTATTTTACTCAGCAGTTGATTGTAATTATAATTGTTGTAGTATAGTTCCTTAGTAGTGGCATAATTGATGCAGGACCAAAGACACATCGAAGCACATTTAAAAGAGATGGCTTTCAATAAAAATCTGTTTATTGATATATAGATGCATTTACTGGTAGGTATTAGATTAAATATGTTCAGGGTTATTCAAGCTGATCACTAAATTCCAGCAGACTTTACGGGCCTCCTGCTTACGTTAACCAACCAATCAGTCCAGGTGCGTTTAGGTTAAGGGATGCAAGAGAAAACTCAATGTAAGCTCTGCTGCAGCCCCCTGCTCAGAGCACCTAGAGACCAAACGCTGTTAAAACATCTATTACTGAATATGTATTGGAGCTGCAGAGAAAGAAAAAACATTTTCAAACTACACTGTGTCACAAATGACATTTTAATGCTTAGAGAAAAGAAAACAGTTGTCTTATTCCAGTGTTGCTTTATAATCACGAATGCTGTAATCATGTTCAATTCCCGATATGCATTCACTTTGGTGTTTCTACAACAGATCCTACCTTCTGAAGCTACTGAACCTCAATGTATTTACAACATTTAGTCACATCAGTGCAACAAAAAACAGAATCAAGATGTTTATTTTTTCCTTTTGTCTTCCTCTTTAAATTGTATGCAATCAAATAGTTTGAAGGCACTTGCTTCTTTGTCTTCATGTACCTTTTTCCAATTGCATAGTTTTACCAAAAGTTATGCATTTCATTTAATGTACTTATGAAATAGGTCAGGGGACATTGTAACTGTTTTTTTTTTTGTTTTTTTTTTCACTCCTTTTTAACAAAGCTGTTCTGATAATGTGCTATGCATTTCCTGTTGGTATTAAAAAAAGGGAGGATTGTCTGCAGCTTGTCGACGCACCAGTAGATTTAACAAACATGCAAACGATTTAAACAGGACAGTTTTGCCATCATTTTACTCTTCTAAGTTTGGCAGATTGACTTCGAGATGAGATGTGAGGGCTTGGTGAAAATCCAAATTCAGAAAGCACTAGTGATGCTTTCAGGCTTTATTAGTTCACAACGGTTGCAGACTTTTCTCCCTGTGTCTCCCCATTGATGCTTGTTCTTATATATTCAATATACTCTGTATAAAGTGTTATAGAGTGGTGCCTTCTTCTGACCATTACATTGTTTGCTTCTTAAAGGGCTTGTAACTAAAAACAAAAACAGCTGATTTAAAAGTTCATAAGCAGTAAGATATCATTCCATTATGTTAACTTAAGATTGACACCCCTAATTCATATTTATGTTGATGACATTTAGCTTACAGCTTCTTCCCGTTTTGTTTGCATCCATTAATTCCTCATAACTTGAGCCCACAGCCAACCAGAGCCCTGTTTAAGCAAAGACACTGCTCCTTCCATCTTTCTGATCTTATAAAGAAAAATGTAAACAAGAACTATATTGTGTATTTGGTATAAATTTTTATGCTGTAAGAGGCTCTTAAAAGATGTACACCTAAGGAAAATTGTGGTACGTTTGTGTTTTTGGATTTTTTGTTGTTGTTTTTTAAAAATAAATTGGGGAAATAAATAAAACATCTTGTTATTTTTAATACTTTGAACACTATTTAAAAAATGAGTGTTAAATGTGAGGCTACTGAAGAAACAAATGCTCTTCATCGGATAATACAGGATTTCAATTGATGGGCTTTACATACCAGGATAGAGGGAAATCACCTGGTCCTTACTGAGCTCTAATATTCTTGAAATCTAATTTTTGTTCAAAATGCATCATAATCCATCTATGAAATACACCAAAGTGAGGCCATAATGTGGGGTAAGTAAATATTTATGTGTATAACACATTTCAGCAGCAAAGTAATATCATAAAAACATCAAAACAAATATTCAGTAAAAACATCAATCAAGTATCAATCATAAAAATCATAAAAACCATCACCTAGATACTTATAAGGAGATCGTCAATGTGTAAAATATATTTTCACCCGGATATATTTGCAGACTGCTAGTCAGAGGCGGCTCTAAACAGGTGGCTCTTCAGCTTAATTTAAAAGAATTTAGTGTTTTACTGTTTTCTGCAAGTTGGTGCCAAATTTAACCTTCCATAAAATCTGAAAGTTTATTTCTCCATGTTTGGTTCTGGAGATGCAAAGTAAACTGAAACAAGTATGGAAGGTTGAGATGAAGATGGTAAGTCTTTAATGTTTTGTGGTACTAAGCCATTCAGCCATTTAAATAATAGAATTATTTTTAAGTCTCTTCTCTCACAGGTAGATTTTTTGTTGCAGATCTCTAAAGTTGCTGTTGCAGTAATAAATGTAACTAAAGAAAAAAAGAATGGATAAGTTTATCTAGATCTTGTGAAATTTGTTCTTTAATTCTGGCAATGTTCCTCGTCTGTTTTAATCTCTCTCTGAAGGTTTAGGTCTGAAGGAGAACATATTACCTGCTGTATGTTTCTAGAAGCTACTAGAACCATCATTAGCAGCCATGATTTGATGTTTTCTGTCTCACTATCAATCTCCCACATATTTTTGTTAGAATTTGAACCAACCCTGTTTTATGGTGTTGTGCTGCCTCAGTTGCAGAAACATTTATGTCTTCACGCCCTCTTAGCTTGCGATCATGGTATTCTAATTGGCTCTAGGCTCTAAAACTACTTGGATTATATGTAAAAATAAATACATAAATCTATAAACATATACCGGTAAACATGCAAGTGTCCTTCCACTTTGACAGCTTGAAAACGGATGTAAAAGTTTAAAATGTCTTGTACAGGGCAGGAGGGTGTGAATACTTTCAAACATATAAGTTTCCATTCAGCTATTTGTGCATGATCTATAACACTGATTGAAATAACCAAAGTTGAAAAGAGCTTGTTGTATCGCAGGCTCTGAACCTCATATGATAATGTGCATACCACAAGTTATTGAAATGAACATTTATTTAAAGAAAAGTACAATAAGTTGGAGGGGGAGAGGGGTCATTACACAAGCAGAACCTTCTTTGCATTTTTAATGTAGTGGAATTTGTGGTCTGTCTCAGAACAACTAACATGCCATTTTTATTTAAACCCGACATAGCGGTGTGCTCAGGCCCAGAAAACTACATAAACTGCTTTCATAGAGGTGCTGTCTGCTGATGAACATGCTTTACCTGGAACTCTTGTGACAGAAACAAAGGTTTCCCTTGTTATTCCGCATGCAGTGTCTGTTTCCTTTGTGAACAATGACAATGGGGAATGTTCAGCATTTTAAAGTTACTGTAAATTTGAATCATTTTGGAAGCTGCTAATAAGATAATTTTTCTGTAAAAAGTAAAAAAAGCTTTAAACAAGCCAAGTTACTTTTAACCATGTTTGCATCATCCACATCATTTTTTATGTCTGTTTATGAATAAACTGTTTTTTTAAATGTGTTCAGGCCTAATGTTAATGCAAATGTGGGATGGCTGAAACTCTTCAAGCATGAATCCTGATCCAGTCCAGCTGAACAGCCCGTTTTCATTAGAAAAAGGAACCTTTTGAGGACTTGAGGAGACATTCGCCGGAACGCAATTCGTCTTTTAATCATCTATTATATTAGATAAATCATGAGAGTGTTTCTGTTCTTGCTTTTCTGCAGTTTGATGGGTGAGTTATATGACATGTATTTGTGAATAATGTTGAATATTTTAGATTTTGATAAGAAAGGAAAACGTATTTTAAATGCAAAGTATATAAAATATTTTTTTAGATGTTATATTTCATATTATATGCTGAGTTTAAGAGAATCTGAATTCTATATATTTTTGTAACAGTTCCTTTTACTTCTGCTTCAATGAACCACATTTCCTGTCAGAACAGATGGCTCCGCTGTTTGGATGCAATGTTTTTATTCATTTTCTTTCTTTTTTTTTTGTTCTCAGCTTTAATTTGTCATAAATTCATTTTTATATCACAGAGAAAATAAAGTCATAAAAAGTATTCTGAACAATGAACGGTGAACAATGAAAACAAATGGATAAAATCTTAAAATCCACAGGAAAACCCTAAACAGTTAAAAACATTTAAACTAAAGGATTGGCTTATAAGTGCTTATTACTCCTGGTTTATATATTTATAATAATTTTAAATCAAGCAAAACAAGCAGATCACAATTGACTCAACAATTGAAATTCTATTCTCTTTTATTTTTCTTTAAGTTGTCTACTCCAAATTTATACAGACGAGACGTATAATGATGACATTCATTAAAAATGTATTTAAATCCTCCCCTAATATTTCACACTATTTCAGTTTATTCATAGAACCCTTACATAGATTCATTACTTCCTCTGAAAACATTATTGCTTAATACTAGTTGCCTCTTGAACATGCAGTTGTGCAAAATACACTATATATACATATATATATATATATATATATATATATATATATATATATATATATATATATATATATGCTATTTATATGCTACAAAGTGTTTTGTAATTGTTACATCATTTATAATAATTTATATACTGTTGCCTCTCTTGTTGGTTTCTCTTCTTACTCTTGATGGCTTTGTGGCTTTGCTTTCCATTTTAAAATATGTAAAATAATTTGAGCCAAATTTCCTGCTAATATTCACTTCTTTATGTGTCCCTCTTTTCAGTCAACTTTAAATCAAAGAGAAGTATTGTGAAGAATAATGTCTGGACCGACCGTCATCAAGTTTATCTATTCAGTGCCAGAAATGCTGTTGTTTAAAAACTTTTTAAGTTCTTTTTAATGTCCTTTTTCTTTTAAGGTAGAAGCTGAGACTGAACAAAAAAATAGTATCATTATAATTCCCTTTTTTTTTTTCTTCTTTCACAGGTGGCATCTCTGCTGCCACAGCTATATCAGTTAAATTAGAAGCAGACAAACCCTCAGAGATAGCCAAGGAGTTTGAAACTGCTAAGCTGAAATGCTGCTACCAAAGCGAATCTAAAGATGTATTTTGGGTGAAGAGCGATGCATCCTCTCAGAATGCCAGGGTGCCCCTAAATGAACGTGTGTTTCAAAACAACACTGAGTCCGAAGGCATACAGTGCAGCAGGCTAACCTTAAAGCGAGCACGGATGACAGATACTGGGTTTTACCAGTGCTCTCTTTACGAAGGCAAAGTCATGACGCACGGCACCTACTTGCGGATCTCCAGTGAGTATGGGACTGGGTGGGTGAGGGTGCACATTGCACGGCAAGCCAATCAGGAATGCCACTAAGTGTGTATGTGTGTGGAATCAAGTGAGCACTAAGTACCGCTTACACATCTTAAGCCCCAAATCCTGTTAACCTTAGTCTATTCAAGATTTGTGTGGGGGCAGTATTTCTACATACCACAGTGAAGCTCATCTTTATTGCATAAGAATGATCTAATTACACACTGTTTATTATTCACATAAAAAGCACCAAACAGTAATAAAGCAAGTCTTGTGAGCATACATAGGAGCATATTTCATTCTAATTTCATAATTAGGTGTTGGATATTTTAAAGCTGTAACCAAGTTATGCATGAAACATGTATATCTTATCTAATAAAGCTACAGATTGCACATTAGATTGAGTTATTTCTATTAAAAATAGTAGTTGTTTGCAATAAATGTCTTTTGCAGTCGATAAAGTTATTATAGTGCTTCTGTTTTTGTCCTGCTTGCATTTACTTGTGCCAATAAAGCACAATATCCTGTTTATAGACCAACAATTATTATATGTTAACCTCTTCCTGTCTGGTTAGAGCCTATGGAGAAGACCATAAACCTCAGTGAGAGCACCAAAAACAAGATCCTGACAGTTGAAGGAGTCTTGCTGCTGCTGTGTGTTATCATTCCTTCAGCCTCTCTTTTGCTCCAGGTCAGAAAGTCACATTGCTTGGATTCACCCAACCCTTCTTATATGATGTTGTTACAGAAATGGATGTCACCCATTTTTTTTCAAATCAGTTACCTATTTCTCAGATTTCTGTTAACCATTTTCTCTGCCTCTCTTTAACACAGTCACAGAGCCTACATAGACTGGAGATGAAAAAAATGAAACAAGAAGAGGAGAACATATATCAGGTAAATATAATTGAATGTATTTATGTATATATGATTATGTCACTTTATTTGCAAACAAACATCTTTAACAGGTAGAACAACGTGCAAATGCAAGAAAAATGTTACAGAGGTTTTGTTTCAATTTTTTTTTTTTTCCACAAATAAATATAATTTCATATGTCTCACGTAACTTCAAACAGTTAGAAAATTACTTTTCATGATTACTCAAACTCTGTGAAACTGGATGAAAAGATTTTGTTTAATTCTTGACACAGATTCTTGAATGGACTTGTGTCCTGATCAAACTGTTTAACACATCAGTAGAGTTTGTTCTTATCCAATCCATTGCAGTTTTATCCAGTCCAGGCTGTTGTTTGTCGGAGAGTGATCTATATCCAAAGATTTTACTTTTCATCAACTCTAACCAGCTTCACTGCTTGATACTGATACTCACATGTTTGTGTATAGCTTATGTACAGTGTTACTTCTTTATATTTTGTTTCTCTAACCAGATGTAATGTTATAATTTAGGCCAGAAAATTTTAATTTCCAGTTTCCTATGACCAGATTTCCTTTTTCCATGTATTTTTCTAACCTCTGCAGAACTTGTGAAATTTAATTAGGGAAATAAGTGTAAAGGGGACTGAATACAAGCACATTTACCAGGGGGGAGAGGGTGGGGCTGATGTTTTTTTTCATGGGGGCATTGAACAAAAAAATCCATCATTTGAAATATATATATAAATACATGGACCATGACCAGTTATACAGTAGTCCTGACTTCATGGGCCCATTTTTAGAAGCGTCCATGTGTAAAACATTGTACTTTTCTCCCTTTACTTCACATACATGCTCTGTTTTGTCAGTGTACCATATAAAACCCCTAATAAAATAGTTTCAAATATCAGTTTACTACAACAAGTATTAAATAAATAAGAGAAATGCTTTTGTAAGAAACTGTAGGCCTTTACAGGATAAATGAGCACCATAGTAAAATCAACTTGTTATCATGCACTATAGTATGATATATATGTATTTTATGTGCATCAGGGGCTGAATCTGGACGACTGCTGCACAACATATGATCAGATTGAACGCTCCCAGTCACAGGGCCAGTACCAGGATGTGTGCAATGCTATGGAAGAAAAGGAAGAAATCGTTCTGGAGAAACCATGAATGAAAGCAGACGAAGGGTGGAAGCAGGGAATCTATTTCTGGATTTGTGGGAAATGTGATTGGATTATGCCATACAATGGGTTGTTTGATTGCAGCACAGCGTTTTGAACATAGCAGTTATGTTTTAGCCTCTAAGACTCATATTGCCTAACTACTTTCAGCCATTAGAGATTATGACAACTGTTGACGAAACAGTCTTATCACAATCAGGATTGTAGCAAGGATTCCAGTAATACCAATCGAATGATAACTGTACATAGCAAATTTAACAATGGGTTTCAAGTTTTTCATTTAATTTAAGGCATTCCAGATTTAAAAATGTAAGCTTTCTAACACACTGTTGTCATTGCAATTTATTATATTCTTTGTGTTTCTTCATTTTCTTTTCTTTTTTTTTTTGTTCTGAGCTTTAGCTTAATTTGTTATAAATTCATTTTCATATCACAGAGAAAATAAAGTCAAAAAATTGATTCTGATAACGGTGAACAATGAAAACAAATGGACAAAATCTTAAAATCCACAGGAAACCCCTAAACAGTTAAAAAAACATTTAAATTAAAGGATTGGCTTATAGGTGCTTATTACTCCTGGTAAAGAGTTTCCTTAATTATAATCTCTGTATATATATGTATAATAATTTCAAATCAAGCAAAACAAGCAGGTTAAAATTGACTCAAAAATTTAAATTCTATGTTTTTTTTGTTTTTTTCTCTAAATTGTGTACTCCAAATTTATACAGACGAGATGTATACTGATGGCATTCATTTTTAAATGTATTCAAATCCTCCCCTGCAAAATATATATATATATATATATATATATATATATATATATATATATATATATATATATATATATATATTCAGTTATTGCAGCTTTAATGCCTTAATCACCATAAATGTTTTGCGGTTTTCTGTAACGTTTATAGAAATGCATATATGTCTTAAGACAAATAATAAAGAAATGCTATTAAATTGCCTCAAGACTGCATTGAAAAAATAAAATATATCTAATCTACATAAAATAAATATCAGTGTTGAAGGGAACATAAACATATTTCCTATGAGAGTTTTGATTGGCTACTGGACAGAAGAGCGTGCATTTCATTGGCTCCACCTATGGTTGTGGGCGGGGCCTCTTAGCTGCAGGTAGGTATGAGGATATGAGGACGAGATATGAGAGGCGGTGCATAAACAGTGGGCGAAGATGGCGTCGAGTAAGAAGGGCGGAGGGACTGGCAGGCTGGAGAGAGTTATGAATGGAAGACGCTCATCTAAATTCAAAGAAGGTCCTGTTGGTAAGTTTGTTTTTTGTTTTTTTCCTGCTGTGCCAGCCTCGCCCCCTGGCATTTATCCTTTAGTCCCCCCCCCTGCTAACGGAACATGCCCCCCTTCCAGCTAACATATAGCAGCTAGGTTAGCCGTTGTAGGGTAGCACCGCTGGATTTGTAACATCAGTCTCGCTGTAGTGTCAATAACAAGCAAAGGTGTCACACATTGACTGTTTAGGCTCCGACATCCTCCCTCCTCGCCATGTCTGTAGTTATCAGCGTTCATAACCTGACAGTAACATGTAACAACGCTGCGCTTTTTACCTGAAATCGCTGTTATTAACTAAGGGCTCTCATTTGTATTTATTAAAAACATTTCAGGTCCTCCGCCTCTTGTCTCACCAGCTGAGCCTGACATCACCAACCTGATCAGCAGGTATTTAAACAATATAACTTAAAGGGGAGGAGACTAGATTGATAAGATTAAGGCAGGGAGTGGGTTTATGTGTTCTCCTAAGCACTGTGGACAAATCTGTTAAGACAATAAATGGTGATCTGTCGGTATGACACCAGAGGGGGTTGACTCACGATTAATGAGCCTCCTGTAGGATGGCATCAGACTTTAGTCAGGAAACTGCAAGCCTGCTAAAAAGACCTGTATCATGTTTTTACCTTGTCATCAATCAATCAAAAGCCAAAATAACATGTAAATACCCTGTGAAAATAACCCTGTATAATAATCCTGCCATAAAAAATGCTGTCATATGTGGATGGACTGTATGGTATATATCCCATCCTTGCACCTTTTTCTTCCTTTGGCACCTTCTTCTCTTTTTAACTATTTGAGCTGATGTAACGAGTAAATATCTCCAATGTAAGATCAATAAACTCAATCATTAAACTCTCAGGATAGCTTAAACACATTAAGGGCAAATTATACTTCATACTCCAATTTTTCACTACATGCTAAATAAAAACACAAAGTTCAAAAAACCTTGTTCAGATTTGGAAAACTCTTAAATAATAGGAAAATCTATTTATGCTTCTAAGATAAACTTTGCAGTGATTGGTTATGTAGTCCATAGTGATTCAACACCATCATTTAGTGGGATTTAAGTTGGGCTAAAGGGCAGACTAGACTTCTGCAACTGCACACATCAAATGTTTCTTGGGTCTGTTCGTGAACCAGTTTTGCTGGTATGCTTCTGCAACGTCGGTCTGGAATTTCTAGGGACGCACAGCAGTTTTCCACCGCAGCGCTAGGGAGAACCTATTTTAGAACTCGTGAGAACTTTGGCGGCTCCGGCAACGATGGCGCGCAATAAATCACGGTCACGGAGATGGATCTAGAGTTGCTAGACATCGAAGAGGAACAGGTTCTGTTAGGAGGATGTGCAGGTTGTCCATTGTAGTTGTTCCTCGGTATTAAAAAAATGGTGTGCCCCGGCACCGAATCGAGAAGGACGACCACACAGACAGCCGGAAAGGCATACCAAGGACCAATCACAGCTGCTTTTTGTCTGTGCTCTTCAGTTTGAGGTCTGCGCAGGTTTGTGACCATCCAACGTGTAGTCAGGATCTTTTTGAGGCGCGCAACAATGGGTGCCAAATCTCTGCGCAGAGGGCATGGTCGCGCACTGAGACAAATTCGACGGTTGCAGAGGCTATGTGTCAGAAGCATAAATTGGCCTTTAGTGTGAATACTGTGCTAGATAGCAGTGATGATATTTGCATGTTTTTTTCATAGGATCTGTCATTTTCCTAACTGCTTTGTCTTTATCAGACATTTTTAACCGAAAAAGCTTCCTGGATTGGAAGTGAAACATCTTTAAACTTGGAAAATTTAAAGCTTAAGTTTAAAGCCCATGTAATGAGATTTCCAATTTTCACCTAATTTTTTTTGTTACATAAGGTGCCTAATGTGTATATTTTAACTGAATAAAACCCTATTTATATATTTTTTTTAAATGTGGCTTCTTTTCCTTTAGATGACCATTGAACTAAGCCCTATATTTACTTTGTCGTTGGGGTGTGCAGGCTCATTGTTACTGGTTTCCTGTTGTTGCCACTGTTGGTGCATGCAGGGCTATTGTATAGGACACTACCAAGCCCCGGCTTTTAGACACTTCCTTCTGCTTCCAGGTGATTCAAACTCTGTTCATATCTCACAGGTCCACCTCTAAAGAGGATAGCGGTCAGCTGAGCAGGGCCCCTGGCCTTAAATTCAAGCTGCCAAAATATTTTTTGCGTATCAAGAATAATACAAAGCTAGGATGATCAAAAGTAAGAACTGCTGCCTAGCTGCTTTAGACAGAAATCTTTTCATATGTGTTAATAAAATGAAAGCAATAAAAATGACAGTAACAGTTAACAGCCTTCATGTAATGAGTCCCCACAAGATACTCGGTCTTAAAACTGGATCACTACAAAGATGGCAGAGCTCTCCAAATCATCATTGATTGTAGAAACTTCCTTAAACATCATGGTTACTGGGACCTCACTTTCCAAATTAATCTCCCAATTATGCTTAGTCCCAAATAGAACTTCGGATGTCTGACCAACAGACCAGTCTAATCTATTTTCTAATTTGCCCAAAGACTAAATACAAGAACTGCAATGGCTTTAGTGGAAGAGTCTGATTGGTCTTTGTGTGGTGGCCCCTGGAAGCTTTGATCCCCAGCCGCGGTCCAGAGTTTGTGAAGCTCCTGCAAACTCTTCATTGGGCTTTGCTTCACAATTCCACCAGGGCAGCGAATATTCCAGTCCCTTCTGCACATTTTTCACGCCACTCAAACTTCCATTGATTAACACACACACACAACCCTGTGAAAAGGGCATTTTCTTACCTTCCCTGTCGAGGGTGGACAACCGTTAACTCAGCAGATGTCTCCATGATCATATCAAGTAAAAAAAAAAATGCTTCTTTTGTCTTGTGTCCAAATTAATGCTGGAAGGGAATCTTTTCGTTACAATGTGGATCGTACTTTTAGAACCGACAAACTGAAATGAGAACTTCAGTGAAATTTAGATATCACGAAGATCTTGATTTCTCCTCAACAGTTTTCAAATGTGTTCCAGTCACCTTGCACTTTGCAGCAGCATTGCCATATTGCAGTTTCTCAGTGAGCGGGAACATCTCAAGGTTGCTATGCTGCACATGTTGTTGCCAGAGCTGCACATTTAAACGTAGCCCGCACAACCCTCAACAGTCCAATGATTTTCTTATTCTGGAAAATGAAAATAAATTATTTACTTTTAGAATTGGCAAACCAAAATTTGATCTTCAGTGATATCAACATTTATTGAGATGCTCGAAGAGCATCATTGGTGCCTACAGGATACAAAGGGTCTTTTAACCAAAGTCTTTTATGGCCTGCACAAATTTCTTTTCTTTTTTTTTTTACTTTTCCAAAGTGTTCAAAAATTACAAAGCTTTTTTTTTTTAAACTTTCTAAATCTTTTTTAACCCATATAGTAGCAGCTAAAGCTTATTTTGCAGTCTTATTAAGAATTTAGTTTTACAGTTGGACAGTGTACTCTTACAGTAAGTCAACACAGCAACTCTCTTTGCCATTTATTGTTTATTATTATTATTTATTATGAAAAATTCCTTTGATGTGTTTGGTAATAATAACTGTACTAAGAAAACACTGTGTTTCTTTGGTGTCATGGTGTTGTTTGTTCATTTTTGTTTCTGGTTGAGAGGTCACATCTCCCTCCTTCGAGTTATGGAACAGTCAGCTGTTGTATCAGCCAAAAAGTCTACACCGAGATCATGTTTTCCACTGGAAAATTCTCCTCGGAATATCTTCAAAGTTCTTTTTTTTTTTTTTTTTTAAGGCTCCATGTGTTTGCTGTGTGCACATTCATATTTCCCAACAGTTGGCACATGCTACTAATTTTGTTCTAAAATTATAAAGAATTATTTGGTCAGAGGTTCTATAAGAGTCAAACTCAACATCTAATATGGGCACTGTTATATAATATACAATATTATACAATTAGATGATTATCGATTGAAACAAGAAAGGTACAGATGGGAAAAAGGTAATGCTCTTATGATGATCTTTTAAGCTACGATATTTACAGCTGACTTGTTCTTGGGTTTTCTCTGACTTTAACTGACTTGTTTGCATCTTTTTTTTTTACTCTGGCTTCCTTTTTGTTCACCTCTTGTTTCAAAGCTTTTTTTTGGATTTAGTTATATTTATACAACAAAGGTAAGTCTTTTCTCAACTTGAACATTTTCATATTTGGTCACATTAAAACCACACATATTGTTTTATATTAGATTTTATGTGGTGGACCGGAGCTAAGTAGCCCATAATAGCCCAAACGGTTAATGATGTTGAAGACTTGATAAAGAATCACCAGGCTGTGAGTCTTTCTATAGATTCCTCATGCTATTTAGGTGTGTACTTTGACTAGACCATTCTAATGCCCTGTGTTGTATGTATAGGGTTGTTACTCAGCTGGAGAGCAGACACCAGGATTGTTCTGCATTAAGAGACTAATCATCTCAGTATCCACGTTTTCTGTTTGTTTTCTTGCTAATAAACAGCGTACACAGATTTCTTGTAGAGCTGTCTAGGACTGAATGATTTTACCAAAACTCTAAATTTGCTTTCAGGTTTTGAGAGCTTGCTTGCCCAGAGTCCATTGTTACAGGATTTTATGGTAACCACTGTGTGAAAAAGTGTTTACTTCTACTTGCATGCATGGATCTTCAAGCTAGCTGCAACCCTCTCTACCTTTCTTAAACCTTTGCAAGCTGACCTCCTCAATCTTGTCTAAAGTCATTTGCCATCAGTTTTCAAAACACATGTTGACTGATTCATTTTGTGACAGTACAGTTTTGCCATCTACTTTCAGGGTGGATAAGCATTGAAGTTACAGGTCTAGCACTCATAGTGGCTCGATGTACATTATTAGCTATCTGTCACATGCAGAATTTTGCTTGTAGTTTAAAAAGTTACATTTTAATGTAACCTAACCAATGTTGGGAACACATCAAACTTAAATGGTTGAACAGTGCTTTTCTTCTAAATGAAGCTTAAGCACAAATTCAGTCTGGAAGACTCTTAGCAGCTTCAACTGAACTACCTGCGATGTCCCTCGTTCAGCTCCAGCCAATCAGCTCGGGTGTACCTTCTCAAAAGCCAACCATCTTTCAAGATCCCCTTCATTTAGCTCCTGGCCTAGTGAACTTTTACCCACCTCCTAGCCAATCTCCTCCCTCATTCTCAGACTTTTCTCAGTCCAACTCATCCACTGGCTTATTCCACGACCAGTGTCCGGGCCCAGAGGGAAAACTGCTCTAATGCTTTTCTATTTTACTCATCCAGGCAAATGTTAATTGACAGCATCAGAGTTTTCTGCCGGGGCCCGACGGCCAAATAACTTATTTCATTTATGACATTATAGGGCTGGATATGAAGAAAATAGAAAATCACGATATATTTGGGCTGTAATCGCTATTCACGATATATATCACGATATGTTTAAATTACCTTAAAAACAATAGAGTGCATAAAATTGTGCTGATATACTCATTCAGATTTAAAACATTTTAGTTTAACCAGCTCAAAGCTTTTCACAAATGATACTGCCACATCATGTCTTTTGGTGTCAGTATTAGACCTTTAACAAGATCTCAGCAACCAAACAAGAAATAAAGCAAAAACAGACAATACTAAATAAAATGTAAAGTAAAAAGGGGCTCTTATGTGATGATTAAAAAAATGCAGTATTAAAAAACTTTTGACCTCAAATTACAAAAACAAAAGTTGAAATAGTGTCCAAAAATTAGAGCATTATTAGAGCATCTCAGAACTTTTTGCATTGACCTTTAAATGCTGGGAATCCACCCTATGTCATTATTTGCTTCCATGTTCTTGAGTCCCAGTCGGCCTCTGCAGAAGGTCGCTCACACTGAGCCTGGTTCTGCTGGAGTTTTCCTCTCCGCTGTCGCTACATGCATGCTCAGTGCGAGGGAATGCAAAGAGTCCTTGATTCCATACAATCAGCTGCTTTTCCTTAGATAGAAACATTTTGAAGAATATGATTGTTTACTTGTATAAATGAACTGAATAATACTTTTGTAACTGCAGCTTTTCTGTGTTTAAGTCTCTCCAGGTTGAAATCCTCTGTCTTAGCCTATCGTGTGTCATTTTAATAACAGACTGTATGTGGTAGAAATGCAACAAAATGTGAAAACAATCAAAGGTTAGGACTACTTTTGCCTGGTCATTGCCTGGTGATTCAACTCCCTCTGGGTTACACTTGTTACTCTTAGTAACCTTTTAAAAATATGATATAAATCTAAGAAAAACATTTGAAACTGTTTTTGTTTCATATCTGCTGTATCTTTCCTACTGTTGGGGTTTTGCCAACTGAGTTAAAGTTCACAGGGTGTTGCAAGCTCACCGGCCAATGGCAGTATAGCCCTCTGTCACAGGGGAGACGGTTCACTGGAATGGAGTTGTTGCTAGGCATCCTGTGTATTTAAATGTAGATGGGCGGGATTAAGAGAGTATAGGGTAGGACATCTGGTTGATTCCAAGTAGAAATATGGCATGCTGTCATACAGATGTTACAGAGAACCCATGACTCACGCAGTGAAGAAGCAACAGGTCTAGACAACCACAAAAAAAAAACTTCCTTACCTTTTCTTTTCTTTTTCCTCATGCTTTCATTGCTCTCATGGAAGAGAGGAGGCTGACATGGACAAAGCATTGAACTCAGACGCTGGTAAACATTTCTAACCAATTTTTCCTGCTGTGCATTTTTTTTCTTTTAATGCATACCCATCATTTGTGTTCTATGTCAGTAGTAAGCTCTCTTTTTGCCCCTTAGAAGCCATTGTGAGTAATGTAGCTGGTGTTAGTTGTTGTGCATGTCTTATTAATGCCCACTGTCATTCATCTTTAATGTGGAGAGACCAGGTACAACTTATTAGTTGCACTTGTGGGCTTATAGTGACTACTTCTGTCATTAAAGCACAAAAGCAAACAGTATTCATTAGCAGACCTCCTTCATTGCTCAAAAGGCTCCAAAGAGTTGAAAAGGCCAAGAGGTGAGTCATGTTTTTCTTCTGCTATATGAGAATAGGTTGACAGCTGTTGTGGCCTGAGGCTTCACCTCTTGTCAAAAAAAAAGATTATGATGTGTTTTGCATTCTGGTGAGATGGTAGCAGCTCACCTAAACGGTTTTCCATTTGCATAGTATTTGCATGTGATATGCTTGCAGAAGTTAGATAGGGATGTAATGTCTGCAGACTTCATTGTTATTAAGTTTCTGAACCGCTTATGCTGGTCTGGGTTTGTAAAGTTCATCCCTGGCTTACTCTGTCAACATCAGGCCATCCTCAGAGGAGAGAGGTGATGAGAGAGCTGCATCCCCCTGCTTTAATTAAAATATGTAATTTGTATTTTGGCTGCGAGCCCAAGCCTGTTTGACTTCAGTGGTGACATTGGGGCAACTCTTTGATTGGACAAGTCACTGTATCCACAAAGACAACCCTGCTGAAAATGCAATAGCCTTTCTATAGATGTTCTTGGCAAATTTTGCTGATATAAACAATTGTGCTGTTTACATTATTTGTCCAATATGCATTTAGCACTATAAACCCCCGGCCTCTGCTAAAGTTCTGAGGTAGAGCAGCACTCTTAGAACCATGCATGTGTGTTTGTTGTTAAGCTACTGAACTACCAAGAGTGTTATAGGATTCAGTCATTGATCCCTGTAATGAATTCATATGACTAATGCTTGCATAACACTAGAGTGAGTCAGTAGAGACTACAAGACATCCCACCCCAGCTGTGTCTCTATCTGTCAGACTTTTTTAGGCAAAATATGTACATTTATTTCACTCCTGCGTGGCTCAGCTCTGTTTTAGTAAGCTTTATTTTTAAGTTAGGGACCACTAAAAGAAAATGTAGGAGTTGACATTTAAAGGCAAATTGACCCATGATGTGTCGACCAAAGTAGAGGAGAAACATTTAATGACTCAAACCACAGTGACCTCTGAGATCTTACATTGAGCTTTGGTTAGATTGAGGTTTAACTTGGTTTAAGCTTTGGGCTCAATAGGGCCTCTGTAGTTAAGAAGGTTGGCATGAAATCACTGAATGAACTTGTTACATAAAGAAGTCATTTCACATGGGAAGTGAGTTTGAAACGAACCAATAAAAATTGATGCTAAGGTAAGTTGAATTCTATTTTTGTGTACAAGAGGAAAACTTCATATTCCCACTACTTAAAACTCCCTTTAGAAGAGTTGTCATCTAAACTCCTAGAAAGCTTTAAAACCTTAACAAATAATTCAGCCGAAAAGGAAAATCAAATCAAATTCCCTTAGGATGCCCCCTGAAATATTTATTGCCTCTTTGTTAACTTAGCTTTTTTTTGCTACTTCTCAGTTTAGATTTGGGCCATTTTGACACTTTTGGCAGAGACACTGATAACAGCTATAGCCATGGCTCTGTTATTCTTGAAAACAGAAACGTCTGTTTGCTGGACTGTTTTCGACTCATCTGGCATCTGCAGAGAATGGTGTGAGATACACATTTAGACTTTATACTTTTGCTTCAGAAACTGCTGTGCAACCACTTCTAAGCAATTAGAGTAAACTTTAATCGTACTATATCAAGGACCTTTTACACATCGACAGCTTTGTATTCTAAAGACAGCAGCTTAATGTCCTGGAAAAGCTTCTGAATAGTCAGCTCAATGTTTTTCCGCAACAATGAGCAACAGCAGTCGCTGAAAACGTTTCAAGATGACACTTGTCTGCAGTCAGACCAGATACATTTACAGATTCCAAGGCTTGGTAGAATGTTTTCTGAGCCTGGGGTTATTTACAGATTTTCTTTTATTTTTCATGTTATTAAATCAGAAAATTGGCTTTTATTTCCAGCCAAATGGAATAAATAAGCTGTTGAATGTTTCCTTCAGCTGGTCGGGCTGATAGTGACAGTATTTTTATTTTTTTGTTGGTTTTCTGGAAATGTATCAAAAAGCTGCCTGGAGAAAAACGGAAATGAGCCTCCTGTTTTGAGAAATTGTTTTTTTGATTAATTTCCTGTTCCAGGTGTCAGGGGGATTTGACTTCTAAGCAAACTGAAATAGTGAATTTCATTACTAAACGATAGTGACCTTTATAGTTACATTTTTCCTGTGAACCTAAGGACAATATTTTACTCTACTAGAAGAATTTAGCTTTTCTCCCCAAATTAATCAGCCTATATGTGTATTCCCTCTGGGATTATAAAAGTATGTCTGATTCTGATATATATACTGTGTTCTTTTTTTCTACTTCAAATATTTTATTACTTCACTGCTTTACCTTTTCAAATGTATTCGGGTTTGTAGCTCTTGATGGTAAACGCAAGACAGCGGTTACATTAAAAACTGTATATTTTGTTTTTTAGCACTAACAGCTAGCCATCAGCTTTGTTGTTTAACTATTCCTATGTCCGTCTACAACTTTTAACTTCAAGTTATTCATCAAATTGATGCAGAACATGTTTCTCCTCTGAGATCTGACTTTGTTATGGAAATGGTGCCTTCACTCATGTCTCACTCCGTCTCTTGCATGCCAATCATCGATACAGTAACAAAGAGCTAGTTCCCATTGTTGTCATGGGAACAGGCATCCTCAGATGACTCACAGAGGTACACGGTCCAACAGTGACAGACAGTGCTGTATCACTGTATCTTCTGTTAGCATAGAGATATGAGCCTACTGGATAAACAAACCAAGCTGTGCGGGAGTCTTGCCTGAGCATGTTAGCATGTTTCGTTTTTTTTTTTCCCCGTTTTTTTTCTTTAACCAATCTGTTCTCAGCAGCGACCTGTTAGTGGAGGGCTTTTGCTTTCTCCTCCTGTTCCATGCAGATCTTGTGGGGATTTCAGCTGCTTAGCCTGGGTTTACATCGTTTAATTTCAAGCCTTGTTTAACACATTTCAGCCCAGGAGTCTCTGTGCACCAGGCTATAGGGGCTTAGTTATCCAGACTAAGAACCTTTTGTTGAATAATTCCAGTGACGTCCCTCTAGGCTCATTGTTTTTCTTGGATGTTCTCCTGCAGTTCTTGCAAGACCAAGCTAATGAGCTATTTTTTAACCTCTACAGAAACTTTTGCAATTTAAGTTTTTTCATTCATGTTTTTATATCCTGTTATGTCACAAAATGGGTCTGTTTCCTAAAATGGAGGAGAGAAGGAATAAACTCCTTATAGATGTATGGGAACTGAATTAAAAGTTTCGCACAGTGTCATAGATTGAGAACTGTATTTATAATCTGCCTTTTTATGTACTTTCTCAGTGATGGACACCCAGGCGGTGTTTGCGGCCCTGTACAGCGTGTGTGAAGAAAATGTCACTTTCTTCTCGGCCGGGGCCAAGGGGACCCAGGGGGATGCAGTCCGACGGCTGGTGGCAACCATGAAGCTGATCCAGGAACACGCTCGCAGTCTGGAACCAGTTATTTCTGGCTTCGCTGCCGTTTATCACCATTTCGACTTTGACCCACACATACCCGCTAATGGCTACCGCTCGTTGGTGAAGGTAAGACGCCGTGCTTCAAAGGTTTTTTGTCTGCAGGATTCAAATCTTAAATTCGTTTTTTCATATCTCCAACTTGGTGCAGCTGGGGGGATAAAAATCTTTACCACTACAGTAGATTCATATCAATATTCCCTCCCCTGGTGAGAAACACTGACTGTTACATCTCTGACTTGGTATTGCTTTGTTTCAAGGTCGGCACATTTGTTGGAGAGATTGATTTTTATGTTTCAAATTGGGGGAGATAAATCCTCCAACGGCAAATATGCCCACGAATACTGTATCCGATGTATTTTAATCTTGGACACTCGTCAATAAAACATCATGACCTTCAGTCGGGGCACTAAATGTGGAAGCAAAATGTATGCTCCCCTTTTTTCCAACCCCATGATTTCAACATTAATGATCCCTCTGATCTTTGTGTTTCTCCTGCTGCTTTTCTTAACACGTTCCCATGTGCTCGCAACAGTGTTTGATTTTTTTTTTATTTTTATGATTTCTCTTACAACTGCAAACCACTGTTTCTTAACAGCAGTGTAATTAATGAATAGTCTAATTCTGTAATTTAAAAGCACTTTAAAGACAAGGCTGTTGATGATCTAACAGGAAATTAAGTTACTCAAAAATAAAAATTGGGAAGGCTTAGCTTTTCACCTAAAGGAGACCCAAGGGAACTCTTGAGGAGCTGAAGATCTCTACAACTCAGATGGAAGAGTAAAGTTGGAGATAAACACAAGGCATACCATTAAGAAGCCTGTTTTAAAAGACTTTAAGTGAGGCAGTGGTTCTCTTACGAGCATGACGACGATGTTTAACAAACAGCTAGAGATGTAGTTCATTGGTTGATATCATATTCATGTGTTAGACTGGCCAAGTTCAATTGATTTGGTGGCAAAAGCTTATTCCAAAATAGTAAAAAAAAACTTTAAATAAAAAGTTAAAAAAGAACAGAGAAGGTGAACTCAGGTTTCACCTTTCAAAAACCTAAAATGCATCAATGGAATTGATTGCTTCCCACTATCATCGCAACCCCCACACCCCTACAGGGGAGCAGAACACCTCGCCTGTGCAGGCAGGCCAACGATTCCCTCTGACGATCCCCTTTTAAAGACATAGACAGGTATTGGGTACTGCAGGCTACCAAAGAATCCAAATGACCTATTTCTAAGGGGCGGACCCGTTCGTCTGGTTCAGTTTGCATATTTTCTAAGCCAAAACCAGGCTTTGTTTTTGGCTAACTCTTTAAGGCTTCAAACTCAACGCTATTTCTGTCATTTTTTATTGAAAAAGCTTCTGCATTGGAAGCTAAATGTCTTCTAACTTGGAAACAAAGTCCAGTGGATTTTTTTCTTACTTTTTTGGAATGACTATGACCCGGATTACTGAGAATCTTAACCGGCATGAGGCAAAAGGTTATTCTTTCTCAATGGCCTTTTTTATTATTATTGACACACCAAAACATAGTTTTTGATTATGTGAGATTAAGCTTTTTTTCTGATATTTTAAGTAGAGATGCACCGATCCGATACCTGATCAGATATCTGCTCTCATATTGGCTAATTATCTGGATTGGATATCTGTGATTTGATATTGGATATTGGGGATCCAATCCAACACACTTAACATGTGCCCCATTTACAGTACTCCACTGAAACTGATTAATGCCGTTTTCGGACCGACTTGGATCAGTTATTCATGTCAAGCTTGGTTCTTACCCCAATTTACACATCACGCTAACGGTTTGTTGCCTCCTATTGAAGGTCCATGATATTACAGCTCTGAAGGCAGGAATTATGCAAACAAAAAAATGCTTGCAACCATAGCATTTAGAAATTCATTGCCTGGATAGCGTCCTGCGCCCAAATTTCAATGAGAGCCTCAGTCTCTGCATCATCCCATGTCACACCACGCTCTTTTGATGCCATTTATTTTTAATAAGCTGAGTAGAAGTTTGTGTTGTGAACAGGTGAAGTGATTTGTCATAGAACAGAGCCACAGATGAACCGTGCCGAGCCCTACTGTTGAACTAGTAATAGATTTAGCCGTTGTGTCTGGCACAATCCAGATCAGTTTCGTTCCATTTATATTCAGCAGTTATCTTGGTTACCGTGCTCAGACCGTTATCACCACTGTTTCAAAAAGTTAGTATAATTGGGGCTATAGAGCTGTTCTTTCTTTTTGCTGCTTATTTGTTGGTAAATAATATAAAGTACATTCATATGTTTGTTGGTAATGTCAATGCTAAAGCCTTCTCTCACATGACAGGGTGTATGGTTCATTCATTCAATAGTCTAATCAGGTCGGTATTGAATATCTGCTGATATGCTCATCCCAGATATCGGTATCTGATTGGATCTGAAAAAACCTGATTGGTGCATCTCTAATTATCCAAAGTATTTTTGTAAATAGTCCCTAAAGTTTTCACCTGCCTGTCATACTTATTTTCAGGTTGTGCGTTGCTGTCTTCTCCACATCATCCACAAGGGGCGCTACATAACAGCCAACCGCCGCAGCATCTTCTTTCGTGTAGCCCACAACGCCGGGGAGATGGAAGCTTACTGCAGCGCGCTCTGTCAGCTGCGGGCCCTGCTTTACCTGGCCCAGCGAATGCTCCACGACAACGGCCATGGCAACCTGTTCTTCCAAGATGAGAGTGGACTCAGTGAGAGTTTTGTGCGGGAATATGCCTCCATGCACAAAGGATGTTTCTATGGGCGCTGCCTGGGCTTTCAGGTGAGATGAGGTCAAATGCATGTTGTCAACTAGAAAAAGAAGTGATGGGAAATGGGAAGGATAGGAATTATGGTGATAACACTGTTTTATTCTGTATCCACATTAAAGCAATGTTAAAAAAACTTCATTTTTGATTCTGATGTAAGGATATTAACATGAATTATAAATGAATAAACATCAATAATCCGGATGTCTTGAGAGCTAAAAAAAACAGGTGGTTGCTTCTGTACTTATTTAAGCCTACTATAACCTTACTGAACAGGTAGCAAAAATAACTTAAGGAAAAAAGATAAAGTTTATCTGTATTCTTGCAGCCAAACTCAATGCTAGCTGTTCTTTTACTGATGTGTGAATACAATATAAACTCCTTGTTTGTTTTTCTTTTATTGCTTTCTCTCTCCAGTTCACTCCAGCCATCCGACCTTGTCTTCAGACCATCGCTATCGGCCTTGTGGCGTTTGGAGAAAACTATAAGCGCCACCAGTCAGGAATAGGTTAGCATTGCCTCATCATCCAATCCACATTGCTCTCATTCTAGCACCCTCCTCATTCATCCTCACATCACTTCTGCTTTCCTGCTTTGCTCCCAGACCGTGTACCTTTTTGATGTTGTGTGTTCAAATTTTAGATGCTCTTTCATCCTTTTGCAATCTTAAGGGCTTGCTGGAGTGTTTCTTGTATATTTCAAACTGTTTTAAACTTTTAAATACAGAGCAGAGACTGAACAACCTTGTGATATATATATATATATATATATATATATATATATATATATATATATATATATAAACACACCCATGAGTAATTAAAAAGGGAAAAGTCCTACTCTGATGGTTTCTTGTGCTCTCTGCTGCATCCCAGTGGACGCAGGAAGTATTGCACCATATGGTGAGTGTACTGTATTAGAACCTTTTCATTGTTTACCTCTTTATTGAGTTGAAAGACCTTCACATTACTCTTGAGTTGTATTTCTTATGTTCTTGTTTTTTTTCTTTTTAGACCAAACTTTCTGTTATCCTAAACATTTTTATTCCCTTAACTTTAACATTAGATGTTTTTGCATTTTACTTTGAAAGAAATGCTTATAATCTTAATAAAATCTACAGGTTAAACTTGATGAATTAAGAAAATAATTTAGTAAACAATCCAAAAACTAATGGGAATTAATTTCTAACAATAATATTAATGATATACCGATTAATGATATAACTCTTTATTCCCCCCATTTTTAGCTTTCTGGTTACTAAACTCTACATTTTTAAAATGAGTGTAGAGTATTTCCACTCTGGTTGCTCCATTAATTTCTGCTTTGGGGAGGTGATCAGCCTGATGCTGGGATGTAAAGGATGTAACAGAGCTTTAAACTCATCTCTATTTTGGGGTCTCCTAACTTTCTCTTAGCAAAGCTAGGTTTTCTGCACGTTCATGGTAAATATGTTTGTTTAAAAACAGTGATATGATCATTAACACAGGTAGTGGTACTAATAACCGTATCGACTTCTTAATACAGCTTGTGGGAAATTAAAATAAAGTGCTCTGAAGAGTGCTGTTAAATGAAACACAGCAAACAGCAGCGGATAACCTGGCTCTGTGAGCTATTAGCTTATGATCTTCTTTAAGGTGTTCAGTTGATTTTGCTTTTCTAATTCTCTCAATGCTGTGGTTACTCTTTTTTACTTTCTGCTACACTTTTTTCTTCCTCTCAACACTAAATATCCTGGAAAGCGGCAATAAGAAGTACTGTTTTCTTTAGCAGTGACCTCTTGCCCTCTTTATATGGAGGGTGGTGGTTGTGAAGGCCATAAACTAAAGTTCATGTTTTAAAAATCTAATCTTACAGGTTTTACACAATATTCAGGTCTTTAAATGTTAATAATTAAATTCAAGAATAGTTCATCCCATGGTAAATTGAAAAATTCATTCAAAGCTCCTATAGCAGAAATAGATTTTTATACTGAATCACTAAAACTGATGAGATGTTGAGATGTACCTGTACTGTATATCCCTATCCTTTCTTAAATGACCCACAGTAAACATCACATTAACTCCAAGCATTAGGAGACATTTTTTTACAAGCTGGCGTTGGAACAAGAGTTTTATTTTTTATTTCTGCCACAATGATACATTTCACTAAATTAGGCGCAACAGCTCTTTGTTTTCTCTATTTCTGATGTTTGTTGAGTCCTAGTTACTTTTTTGTTAACGTTTCTTCTTACATTATCAGTCACTCTTCCTGCATATTTCTGTGTTTTTGGTTTATTCCCTTTGTTTTTGCTCCTACATATTTGACCCCTTTCATTATTCTGGTCCTGCTCTGTGCTTCACATGAACTCATCCATCTATGTTCCCCATGTGTTCGCCTTCGTCCTTTTCCCAGGTGTGGCAGCCAGCTCTTTTTTTACCTCTGGGAAGTACGCCATAGACCCGGAGCTGAGAGGGGCAGAGTTCGAACGGATCACTCAGAACCTGGATGTTCATTTCTGGAAGGCCTTCTGGAACATCACAGAGACGGAGGTTCTGTCGGTGGGTATTCTGCTAATATTTCTTATTACACACATGTTCACATGCTAAGGCATCTGTAATCCACATGAGATATCACATTTCTGTCTCTGTGTTTTTGCCTAGAGGGCATAATTAACAATGGAAGAAATGAATTGGATCTTTGGTTATTTATGATTTATTCATCCAGTTTCTCTCCCGTTACCCGTCTTTATTGGTCTGTATTTGCTGTTGCTTCCTCCTCCAGAGTCTTGCCAGTATGACCTCTACTCAAGTCAAGGTGAACAGAGCGCTCTCTGTTCCTCCTGTGGCCTTCGATCTTCCTCTAGCTGCCAACCACAGAACGTCGGTAACGATAAAGCCACCTTCTGCGCACATCGGCACTGCTCCTGTTCAGATGAGACTCATATCTTATGAGTTGCGTGAAGGACAGGTACTTAAGTCAGTATTTAACTACCCTGTTAATCCTTAAGCCAAATTTCTCTTTGGTTGAAATTTTACAGTCATTTTTACCACTTATCATTTTAATGAATTCAGGCGACATCCAGCCTCCTTTCAATTTTGATCTTCCTTTTTGTTCACTGCGTTTAAACCAAGAAATACTTTTAGCAAACATCCTAAGCTAGTGATAATGCCCTAACGTGACTGTATTGTTTTATTTTCAAAGAATCCAAGTCTACAGCCGTCCAAGATGTTTGTTCCTGTAGATAAATGAGAATTATTGTGCAGTTCTGCTGGCACAGGATAGGTTGGCAACGGGCTGCTTCAGAGCAACCAGCTAATCCGGCTCTCTGAGGAGCACTGCTGAAAACTCTAGTAGCAAAAACATCAGCTCAGAAACTTAACTTTGTGTGCAGCACATACATTATGCATACACTTTATTTGTGTTGGGCAAAGATTATGAAGAAAACCATGATGTTTAGAAGGGGAAAAAAAATGTTAATCTTATGGCTTTTTCTCTCTAGGACAGTGAAACCCTGCTATCTCTGTGTCGATCTGAGGGAGGTGCTATTTCTCTATCCCTGGGGTTGAAGACCAAGCGCCTCCCTTCTTCTCCCTGCATTTTGATCCACTTCCATGGGGGAGGCTTTGTGGCCCAGACCTCAAAATCCCATGAGGTGAGGTGATGCTGCTGCAAACACTTTAATAATAAAAATAAATAAAAAAGTTATTGTCCTCAATTCAAACACAAACTGTAAAGTTATTTTTCATTAATTTCACTAATTTATTTACTAGCATAAATTATTTCAACACATATGAAATACAGAAATCATCACTCGTCTTTGCAGACAAGCTGCCCTGCTGTTGCTCTTCCCAGATTTGAGCGGGTATCATTAAAGCAGTCATCCAGCCTAATTCACTTTTGTATTCCTTCAATAGTGTTTACTCAGACTAATTGTATTGAACTCCAGATAATTAAAATGACAGATACAAGTTGACAGCAGAGGGGCAATTGGTTGCCTTTCTCTGTCAGTAGTGCTGCATGTAATGACCTGCTAAGCTAATTATTGCTGTAATTATTCTATGAAAACTTAATTGAGACTTAGACCACTGTCCTTGCTTTATTTGGTGACAGAGTGCACACAGAAATGCCCCTTTGTCTGTGGATCATATTGCTGCTTCTGGTTATGGGTTCTGTTCGCCGCTCTGGACAGGGACACATATGGCTCCAGATCAGATTCCTGTAGTAAAGAAAATATTCTGGTTATATTAATAATTTGTGATATAATAGTTTTAGTGATTTTATTTATTTATTATTTCAATTTTGATAAAGGGAGATAAGTAATAAACACTGATTATGGTTGCAGTTTTAATCTGCTTATTGGTCTGACAGCCACTCTGCAATCTGCTGCTTTATCATAGTTTATCTGCTGTTGTTTTAAAACAATGGATCCTAAATAGACTGACACATGGTGCTTGTTTTCTTTCACACAGAGATAGTTGATGTTTTTTGTGACAGATACATTTCAATCAGAATAGTTTTTCCTTTTTGTAAAAAAGCTTTAGATATTGGGGTTGAAATGTATTAAGCTCATTCTTACCTCCAGATTCCACATACTGTGTCACCGCTCCGCTACGCTCACGTACGTCGTGCTGAGCACTTTTGCTCCTCTCGGGTCCATCTAGGTCAAGATCTGCAATTGCATTTGCACCAAAAAGGAAAAAGAACGCCGAGAAGATTCGGTTTGTCAAATTAAAATATAACAACAGATTGGTAACTACAGTTTATATATTCCCCCCAAAACTAAGACCATTTAATTAAATTATTGGCTGCAATCTATTGGTGAGTTGGGAACCAGAGAACAAACATAGTTCATACAAGCCAGGATTTGTATAATCCAAGTTATCCCTGTTACAAAAATAACAGGTATAACTTTAAGAAAATATATGCCAGAAACTGCACATATGCTGGGTGCTGATGTTTTTTTTTAATATGTCATATTGAATTATGCTGTAATTTCTGCATGTTTTTCACCTTTTGATTTTAACAATAATATCGCACATGCTCTCCTCGAGCTCTAAAGAAGTCGGAGCGGAGCATGACGGAAGGAACAGCGGAGGCTGTAGTCTTTGCTTTGCACAGGCCGTCTGGAGCGGAGCAGGGCCCTTTACCCCCAGATTCCACATACTCCGTCAGCGCTCCGCTCCGCCCCGCCCCGCTGACGTACGTCGTGCGGTGCGCTCGTCATTCATGGAAATCAATGAGAGCTGTTCCACATCCACCGCTACTCCTCCGCACGTCTCCGTCCACGTACGTCTTCTCCGTCCGTCGCCGACAAATTACGGAGCCGAGCTATTTTTTGCTCCGCTCCGGTCCGGCCAGGTCAAGATCCGCAATTGCAATCNGGTCTCCTAACTTTCTCTTAGCAAAGCTAGGTTTTCTGCACGTTCATGGTAAATATGTTTGTTTAAAAACAGTGATATGATCATTAACGCAGGTAGTGGTACTAATAACCGTATCGACTTCTTAATACAGCTTGTGGGAAATTAAAATAAAGTGCTCTGAAGAGTGCTGTTAAATGAAACACAGCAAACAGCAGCGGATAACCTGGCTCTGTGAGCTATTAGCTTATGATCTTCTTTAAGGTGTTCAGTTGATTTTGCTTTTCTAATTCTCTCAATGCTGTGGTTACTCTTTTTTACTTTCTGCTACACTTTTTTCTTCCTCTCAACACTAAATATCCTGGAAAGCGGCAATAAGAAGTACTGTTTTCTTTAGCAGTGACCTCTTGCCCTCTTTATATGGAGGGTGGTGGTTGTGAAGGCCATAAACTAAAGTTCATGTTTTAAAAATCTAATCTTACAGGTTTTACACAATATTCAGGTCTTTAAATGTTAATAATTAAATTCAAGAATAGTTCATCCCATGGTAAATTGAAAAATTCATTCAAAGCTCCTATAGCAGAAATAGATTTTTATACTGAATCACTAAAACTGATGAGATGTTGAGATGTACCTGTACTGTATATCCCTATCCTTTCTTAAATGACCCACAGTAAACATCACATTAACTCCAAGCATTAGGAGACATTTTTTTACAAGCTGGCGTTGGAACAAGAGTTTTATTTTTTATTTCTGCCACAATGATACATTTCACTAAATTAGGCGCAACAGCTCTTTGTTTTCTCTATTTCTGATGTTTGTTGAGTCCTAGTTACTTTTTTGTTAACGTTTCTTCTTACATTATCAGTCACTCTTCCTGCATATTTCTATGTTTTTGGTTCTTTCCCTTTGTTTTTGCTCCTACATATTTGACCCCTTTCATTATTCTGGTCCTGCTCTGTGCTTCACATGAACTCATCCATCTATGTTCCCCATGTGTTCGCCTTCGTCCTTTTCCCAGGTGTGGCAGCCAGCTCTTTTTTTACCTCTGGGAAGTACGCCATAGACCCGGAGCTGAGAGGGGCAGAGTTCGAACGGATCACTCAGAACCTGGATGTTCATTTCTGGAAGGCCTTCTGGAACATCACAGAGACGGAGGTTCTGTCGGTGGGTATTCTGCTAATATTTCTTATTACACACATGTTCACATGCTAAGGCATCTGTAATCCACATGAGATATCACATTTCTGTCTCTGTGTTTTTGCCTAGAGGGCATAATTAACAATGGAAGAAATGAATTGGATCTTTGGTTATTTATGATTTATTCATCCAGTTTCTCTCCCGTTACCCGTCTTTATTGGTCTGTATTTGCTGTTGCTTCCTCCTCCAGAGTCTTGCCAGTATGACCTCTACTCAAGTCAAGGTGAACAGAGCGCTCTCTGTTCCTCCTGTGGCCTTCGATCTTCCTCTAGCTGCCAACCACAGAACGTCGGTAACGATAAAGCCACCTTCTGCGCACATCGGCACTGCTCCTGTTCAGATGAGACTCATATCTTATGAGTTGCGTGAAGGACAGGTACTTAAGTCAGTATTTAACTACCCTGTTAATCCTTAAGCCAAATTTCTCTTTGGTTGAAATTTTACAGTCATTTTTACCACTTATCATTTTAATGAATTCAGGCGACATCCAGCCTCCTTTCAATTTTGATCTTCCTTTTTGTTCACTGCGTTTAAACCAAGAAATACTTTTAGCAAACATCCTAAGCTAGTGATAATGCCCTAACGTGACTGTATTGTTTTATTTTCAAAGAATCCAAGTCTACAGCCGTCCAAGATGTTTGTTCCTGTAGATAAATGAGAATTATTGTGCAGTTCTGCTGGCACAGGATAGGTTGGCAACGGGCTGCTTCAGAGCAACCAGCTAATCCGGCTCTCTGAGGAGCACTGCTGAAAACTCTAGTAGCAAAAACATCAGCTCAGAAACTTAACTTTGTGTGCAGCACATACATTATGCATACACTTTATTTGTGTTGGGCAAAGATTATGAAGAAAACCATGATGTTTAGAAGGGGAAAAAAAATGTTAATCTTATGGCTTTTTCTCTCTAGGACAGTGAAACCCTGCTATCTCTGTGTCGATCTGAGGGAGGTGCTATTTCTCTATCCCTGGGGTTGAAGACCAAGCGCCTCCCTTCTTCTCCCTGCATTTTGATCCACTTCCATGGGGGAGGCTTTGTGGCCCAGACCTCAAAATCCCATGAGGTGAGGTGATGCTGCTGCAAACACTTTAATAATAAAAATAAATAAAAAAGTTATTGTCCTCAATTCAAACACAAACTGTAAAGTTATTTTTCATTAATTTCACTAATTTATTTACTAGCATAAATTATTTCAACACATATGAAATACAGAAATCATCACTCGTCTTTGCAGACAAGCTGCCCTGCTGTTGCTCTTCCCAGATTTGAGCGGGTATCATTAAAGCAGTCATCCAGCCTAATTCACCTTTGTATTCCTTCAATAGTGTTTACTCAGACTAATTGTATTGAACTCCAGATAATTAAAATGACAGATACAAGTTGACAGCAGAGGGGCAATTGGTTGCCTTTCTCTGTCAGTAGTGCTGCATGTAATGACCTGCTAAGCTAATTATTGCTGTAATTATTCTATGAAAACTTAATTGAGACTTAGACCACTGTCCTTGCTTTATTTGGTGACAGAGTGCACACAGAAATGCCCCTTTGTCTGTGGATCATATTGCTGCTTCTGGTTATGGGTTCTGTTCGCCGCTCTGGACAGGGACACATATGGCTCCAGATCAGATTCCTGTAGTAAAGAAAATATTCTGGTTATATTAATAATTTGTGATATAATAGTTTTAGTGATTTTATTTATTTATTATTTCAATTTTGATAAAGGGAGATAAGTAATAAACACTGATTATGGTTGCAGTTTTAATCTGCTTATTGGTCTGACAGCCACTCTGCAATCTGCTGCTTTATCATAGTTTATCTGCTGTTGTTTTAAAACAATGGATCCTAAATAGACTGACGTATCTTGCTTGTTATCTTTCACACAGAGATAGTTGATGTTTTTTGTGACAGATACATTTCAATCAGAATAGTTTTTCCTTTTTGTAAAAAAGCTTTAGATATTGGGGTTGAAATGTATTAAGCACATTCTTTCCATACTCCGTCACAGCTCCGCCATGCTCACGTACCTCTTGCGGAGAACTTGCAGTCATGTTAATGAGTGAGAACTGTTCCACATCCATCGCTACTCCTCCGTACATCATTGTCCACGTACATCTTCTCCGTCCTTCACCATCAATATACAGAGCCGAGTTATTCTTTGCTCCTCTCGGGTCCGGCCAGGTCAAGATTCGCAATTGCAGTCGCACCAAAAAGGAAAAAGAACGTAGAGAAGATCCGGTTTGTATAATTAAAATATAACGACAGATCGGTAACTACAGTTTATATATTCCCCAAAAAACTAAGACCGTTTTTTAAATTATTGGTTGCAATCTATTGGTACTTCAACATTCCAGGAAGCAGATTTCTCACCTCGATCAAAATATTTATTTTATACATAGAGGTTTAAAAGTTAAATCAAATCCAGTCAAAGCAGCTTCCAAGTGTGCCAACTCCAAAATAAACCTCTTATCGCAGGCATGGATGAAGAGATGCTGAGTTGGGAATCAGAGAACAAACATAGTTCATACAAGCCAATTTTGTATGATCCAAGTTATCCCTCTTACAAAAATAACAGGGATAACTTTAAGAAAATATTTGGGCAGAAACTGCACATATGCTGGATGCTGATGGGGATTTTTTATTATATCATTTTGAATTGATCATTCATTTCTGCATGTTTTTCACCTATGAATTTAACAATAATAGCGCACATGCTCTCCTCATGCTCTGAGGAAGTCAGAGCGGAGCATGACGGAAGGAACAGCGGAGGCTGTAGTCTTTGCTTTGCTCAGGCCGTCTGGAGCGGAGCAGGGCCCTTTACAGAGGATGTGGGATTTCGGGGTTAGATGCCAAACTTCAGGTGTTTTTGTTGATTTTTTTTATACAAAAAAACAAATCATGTTTCTTTTTTATCTTAAACAGCTCAACAATCAGAAAAACATGCTGCAATTTAATAATCAAATGAGCAAGGTTGTTTTTTTTCTCGATTCTTCCTTTTTCACTGGATACGTGTCCCTCTCTTTGTGAAAATGCAACTAGATGTTAACAGCAACTAGATGTTTGTCTTAGTCATTATGGATTTATAACAAACAACAAACATGTGAATGATGAAAGAGAAATCCTTTGATATAAAGGTTTTTAGCTGAGAATCCTAAATGCTGCAAAAAGATCACCTTTGCATTAGACGCTTTGTTTCAGCCAGCTGATAATACTATGTGCAGCAAACAGACAAAGCAGCTCTGTACTTTGCATCCTGTGGCTCCTGAATGAAACTGGTTTAAAAATGGCAAACGCTGTTACACATAATCTTAGCAAAATATCAGTTTTTTTAAAACGTTTAAAAGAGAAGTTGGAAAAATATTTTAGCTTGAACATTTCAGACTCTTCTTTACCAGCAATTATGCTATGTATGACTGAACATATATGTTTCCCAAAAGGCAACTTCAGATTATAAATCGAAAAAAGGAGGTCATAAATACAGTAAATCTTGTTAACCTAAAAAAAACGAATATGCAGCTGTAAGGGTTGATATGGACTATATATATTTTAAATATTCTGTTCAGGAGATCTTCCACTGTGGATCCAGCCCATTTTACTGATATTTGGTGTAAAATTTTCTGCATCAGGACAGATACACATGTTGATATCGAATCAGTTTATCTCTACTTTAATACATTTGATTGAAGCATGTTTTATATGAAACTCTGCAGGAGCAGCACATTAATTACCTGCCCAATTCATTGTCATGAAAGAGACTATTGTATCCCCAGTGATTTGATCCTGTTCATCCTCTGCAGACGTGGCCATCTGTGTCTATTTGGGGTCTTTAGCTGCTTACAGCTGTTAAAACATAAAAGACAAGGAGCTGTGAAATTGCAAAAGACATGAGCATCCTTGGTCTGCAGCTGCATGGTAACTTGTGAACGAGAGAGAGTGATCACAAGGGTGAAGGGAGGGCGCTGTCATGTCGAATTAAGAAAGTAGGAATGACCCAAAATCCTGAAGGGAAATTTGTTGGACTGTCCTTCACTCTTTTCTTCTTTACTACCATCTAGCCACAAGCTAAGAAATGCTCTTTGTTCACTCTGTATCCTTCCTCATGTCCCCTCTTGTCACATTTCGGCACCACATGCTTCCCTCTTTTCTAATCTTTTTCTTTTCTTTGTCTCTGTCTGCTGTCCGATTTCCTGTGTGGAAGGACCCTTAAGGGAGAGCTGAGAAAGGAAAAGTTTGTCTAAGAATCAAAACCAAATGTTTTCCCTCATCTCCTTGCCAACAACTGTTCTGTCCTCTAGCAGAGTACACAGCTTTACCTCAGCTGCTGGAGCCAGCGGCGGGTTTCAGTATGCAGCAAAGCTGTGATCAGAAACGGCTGTAACGTCTGCAGCTTCAGCAATTTATGCAGAGCATCAAGTGTCGGGGAGCCGTTTTAAAGGATTGTAGATTAACAGCTCTGCCTGTCTTAAAGTGAGTCAGAGCTCTCATTAATTCCCTCTTTGGGAACCCAAGAAGAGTACGTTTCCAAGAGTTTCCAAGGTTATGTAAAATTAAACAGCTTCAATCCCACCTCAACAAGAATACACATCTCCTCTCTCCCCGCTGGCCTGTGTGTTATGCCTGCACAGCATTTTATTTATTTATTTATTTATTGGTATTCAGCTGATGTGCTGCCCTGACTGACAACTGTGCCACACACTCGGCTGCATGTTGTAGCTCATTGTAGGCTCTCAGTCAGTGAAAGATGTTGTTCATCCTCACCTTAGGAATACCTTTTACCGACTCGCACACACCGTTCTAAATCAAAGCTGCTCTCATTCTGCAAACTCACCGACTTTTCTGTTGCTCAGATCCATGATTTAGTGTGACAGATTAGGGCTTAAACAACCCAAGCTGACTGCTGTTTTTTTTTATGTTATTTATTTATTTTTTATTCATGCTAAATCACAAGTTGGGGTTGTGATATTCCGACGTGCACACACCTTCATTTTCCCTGGCAGTTTGAGTAAAGATCTTTCACTTTGACGAAAAGCACTGCCACAGCAAGTCTGAAAGCGTTAAAGATAGATGGAGGTAAGAGAGCACAGGCGTTTTCACATATCAGGGTCACTATGTGAGCACAGTAAACATTTAACCTGACTATAATCGGCAAAAAGAGAAGAACTCGGCATTCTGGCCGTTTTTACAGACCCTCCTTGTAAATCTACAGCACCATCTTGGCTTTCTTCACACAGTGCAAAGTAGGACAAGTAGCTGCATTTATTACTGTATTAAAAATGGGCAAATGGAGGGGACTGTGAGGGCAGCTCTCGCCTCTGTCTGTTATTGTCTGTTCTGGAAGCCAAAAAAGCAGAAAAATGAGATCAGAGGGACACTTAATGTTCATTTTATCCTTATGCCTTCATCCTGGCTGCAGTCCACCGCTGCAGTTTCTAATAAATTTAGCAAATACATTATGTTTCTTTTTTATTATCCTCTTACCTCTCTGCTTTTATCTTTTTGCTCAGCCTTATTTGAAGAGCTGGTCCCAGGATCTTGGTGTTCCTATCCTGTCAGTGGATTACTCTCTGGCCCCTGAAGCCCCCTTCCCACGGGCACTGGAGGAATGTTTCTATGCCTACTGTTGGGCTTTAAGAAACCACCATCTACTTGGTACATGCATCTCACACGTTAAATACAATACTAATGGTTATGTAATTCAGTATGTATAATCATTTTTCTTTTTGTAAGAGGCATCATTAAAAAAAAATAAAAATAAAGTTGGGTATAAAAGTGCTTTAGTTAGCCAAAATGCTAGTCACAAGTGTGGTTCTCCATGCAGTATAAAGGTTAAAATAATATCAGCACTATAATCAAAATTTAAAAAGTTATAAATTATAGCTGAACGCATCAACAAACATGTATTTTACCAAGCTAAAAAGTTCAGTTTGTCCAGTGTTATTTTCGTTAACGATGACGAGGATTAAATATTTTGTTGAAAATATTTAATTGTTTTAAAATAAAAAAAAAAATTAAGGACAATATTATAGTTTTATAGATGCTTTATAGTTGATTAAGGCCAACTATGGGATGTTTGGTCCTAATAGTATCTAAATTGATAGAAAAATAGTTGTTTCTTGAAAGATGATTGAAAAATTTGTCAGCAATCACTTCTTCTAGTACATTTAACACATTTAGTATCAAAAGCTTGTACTATGGTGATTAATCGGTTTGTTGTTTTAGGAGCATCATATCTTATTAATGTTTCTCCGGTCTTATTATAATTATCTTTTTGGTAGCTGTCTTCGAAAAGTTTATATCACTTTGTGTAGTTTTCCTAATTTATTCCTCTTTATTTATTTTCTAAATAAAGCCAACTTTCTAACTTAAGCTAATGTTACCTCTGTCGCATCAGATGCATAAAACTGGTTTCAAATTAGCTCTGATTCTATTAGTTTTCTGGAGATTCTTCTGGAAACTAAGTTGACTGACCTTGATGAAGTTTGAGTTTAATAAAGAAGCTAGACTTTTTGATCAGTGTTAGGTTTCCTAGTGGAAGTGCATGTCAAAGTGAAAACAAAGTCATGAATGTTGGTAGGAGATTGAGAGACGATGTGAATACTGAGATATTTTCTGAAGCACAGCGGAGTTAATAGGAAAGAAAAAAAAGTTTCAACTCTCTGATCCTCCTGCCTTTAAAACAAAGTAATGAGATGTATTGAAATTCAGAAAAGTCCCCAGAATGCAAAAGAGTATGATGATGAAAATGTTTCTACTAGTAGAAAAAAAAACTGTTTGCTATTAAACTATTTAACATGACTCAAATGATCAGAGATAATAGATACAGAGTAAGATTCAATGTGCTTTAATTTATTTGCCAATGAAGGAAACAAAAACTGAATTAAAATTTGAACTCAGATCAGCAGAAAAAAATGAAGTTGTCTTTAGTAAAGTTTAGTGAAAATATAATCATAAAAAGAAACTTTTCCTGCCATGTGAAGCTTCCAGTGTGTCACTTTATATGTTCCTGCAAACGGTGTCCAATAAACCGTGATGATCAAGTCGTCTAGTTGATGTTTTAACTACAGAAAATCCAACAGTGAACAATAAAACATCTGTTAGCAGCTCCATCATATCTGATGTTTTGCCACTTTGTAGATCTTTAAAATAATCTGGACTTTCTGTTTTTAAATCCTTTCTTTAATGAATATTTTCATCTTTACAGGATGGACTGGAGAGAGAGTGTGTTTGGCCGGTGACAGCGCAGGAGGCAACCTATGTGTGACCACTTCGATGCGTGCCGCTGCGTCTGGTGTGCGGATGCCGGATGGCATCGTGGCGGCCTACCCGGCTACGCTGCTGACGGCCTACGCATCGCCCTCCCGCCTGCTCACACTTATGGACCCCCTGCTGCCGCTCAGCGTGCTCTCCAGGTGTCTCAGTGCCTACGCAGGTAAAGTTGTGTTTGTTTTTACTCGTTAACTCTGTTACTCATGGTTACAATGAGAATCGTTTCAGGGCCTGTTTAAAGGAATGTAGTTAGGCACCTAAACCTGGTAAAGATGATTAACTCAGGTTGGAAACGATTAAGAAAAGAGGTTTAAGGTAATTTTGAAACTGATATGGTTGGTTTGGCAAGATAAGCCGGTCTGATCGCTTCAGAAACTGCAGATATTCTGTACATGTGTCACAAAGGCTATTCAGAAAAAAGAAAATATTCTGTAATAAACACTTATGGTGATAACAATGCTTCTTTAATGTCAGATGTTTTGAGAAGACTGAAAGGTACAGTAGCTTGAATAAACGCTTCTTACTATCAGACATTATAGATACAACCTCTAAACAAAAAACAAGCTATAGAAACTGAAAATTCTAGTTAGAAAATTCTAACATGCAAAAGCTGACTATGGGTGGACGATAAAAGATGGGTAAATCAACATCATCCAGTCCTGTAGCCGTAGACATAGATGCGTGTAATAGTGTGGGGCATAATATGCTGTGTGAAGCCAACACGTCTTTTTGAACCAAATCGCTGAGGACTGTTTCTGACACCTTGTCCAGTTTTTTGCCATCAAGGATTAAATTAGTTCTAAAGGCAAACGTCCGATAAACCCTGAATGTGTTCTTTCTACAAACATGTAGGTTTTTCATGTCCTCTATTGGATCAGAAACATTAGAAAGATGCAGCATGTGAAAGAATCTAAAGAAATGAAGGACAAAAGTTTGATCAATCTTTTGCTGACTTTGTTCTATTTAATTTTATGAGAATATATTTTATCATAAAACCTCCATTCTTCCCTCTAATTGTACTTTTTTAAAATGCACTTTAAATTCTCAGACTGAAGTTGCCTTAATATGTGAAACTCGATCAAGGATAAAACTTTTGATGCTGTAGAATTCCCATAACTCATCAAGCTGTTCTCCTCTCTGTGCTGTTTATTTTCACTTTCCATTCTGATTAATTCATCTCTTAAAAAAGAAAAACAGCATCAAACTATAGACATCTGTAAAGAGGCAGAACACAAGGTGAAACATTGCCATATTCCCTGTATTGCACCTTTATTTTCATTTTTTGTTTGAAACCGTTTTTTCTCTTCCCTTCCCTTGTCACATATATGAATCACTGCCTGTAATTTGGTAGCAGCATCGAATCTCCTTGGAAAGCCATTTTTCTCTCTTGGATCATGCGTTTCCTGTCATTGCTGATTTGCCATCTTCTCTGCTGGCGTCTCCTCCTCCAGGTAATGAGCCGCAGCCTGAGAAGCAGGTAGAAAAAGTGAGCACGTTGAGCCTGGTGAGGAGAGATACGGCGCTGCTGCTGCGAGATTTCCGACAGGGAGCCTCCAACTGGATCCAATCTCTGCTGGATCCCAGCAGAGCGTCAGCCTCCTCCAACACAGCTGCCGAGACAACACCAGCAGCCGCCGATACGCCCACAACCGGTGTGTTCTGTGTTAGTGTGTGTTGGGAGTGTAATAAGGGGAAACATTTAAAGCATAAATAAGGGTTTTATTATTGCAGCTACTTCATTAAAAGTTCTCCAATTCATGCTGTAATAGTTTAGAAAGTAACTCTGAGTTATGGTTGAAGGATTCCTATGCAGTCTGGAAGGTATAAAATAAAAAGAAAATAAGTATTTCCAGACTTAATTCCCTTTGCTGTTATCAAAATGTTGTGAACATCCATCTTTCATTTTCCTCCCTGCTTGTGTTCTTTCGTTCCTGTATCCTCCCTTCTTTGCTTCCATTTTTGTGTTCTTCCAACCTTCCTTTCATAATCCAATCTCTTTTGTTCTGCCTTCCTTTCCCGGGCCCTTCCTTCTTTTTATTTTACCTTTTGCTGTTTTTGTGGCTTCCATAACTCTATGGTGGTTGACAGGTGCAAACATACAGCAAACGGCAAAGCAAGCTGCAGAAATATGTCATGTAGACATGAGAATACACAAAAAAAAAATGCTACAGAAAAACGCTGCCAACAAAAAAAATCTCAGTTACTGAGCAAGAACCCGCGATCAACAAAATCATTCAAAAAAAGAAAATGGTGCAACCACAGAAAGGAAACGATTCAAATAATAAAAACAACAGCAGACTGGCTCAGAAAACGGAAGTACTCCAGTCCACTAGAGGGAGTCGATCAAACGACAAACCATATTGGACCAGAGTCTAGCTTAAACTACACTGAAACAAATATAACAACCATTTTTTTAGGCATTTAGGCTACTCAATCTTATTTACTTTCTTTAACAATTTTTTTTTTCATGTTAGCATAGTAGGACATAAAACAACAATGGTGTTAAATTTACTAATTAATTAATTAGATGCAAAAACAGTTGCATTATTTTTTTCAGCATATAAAAAACTGCTTTTATTCTGTAATAATGTACACATTTGTTTGAAAAGGAATTGAAAGATAAGAAACCATTTCTTCCTCCAACTTTTTTTAACTTTTTTTTTTTTTTTTACTTTGTTTAATCTTAACTTCTTGTTTGTACATGTGGCCTGGTCTGATATGGTTTGTTATTTGTTCAGCAGCCTCTAGTGGTCTGGAGCAATAAAAACAAGCTTGTTTGCATTATTATCTTTCTGTGATTGCAACATTTTTGTTTTTGCTTGTGGCATTTTGTTTACCGTTGCAGCATTTATTGTTTCTGTTGCAAATGTTTTTTTCCCCCGTGTTTTGGAGTTTGTATCACACAAGTCTTTGCCGCTCCTTTCATCATTTATCGTGCATTAGCACCTACCAACATATGTAGACCTTTTATATTTTTGTACAATGGAAGTACATGAAAGACAATTTTGGAAAAGTTGCAAATTTCTAATTGACATATGTGTAAAAGCTCTGAATTCCTGTGATTCATGTCAGGTTTAGAGAGGCTGTTTGAATTAAGGGCATAGTTTATGGTGTGTTTAGTTGCACACAGTCAGGAGAAACCAAAGCCTCTTGCTGCTTACATTTTCTGCAGCCTTATTCAGTCTCTTTAAACAACATTACTCTACTGAAGTTTATTTACAGCTCCAGTGGAGGGAGGTCAATGATGTGGATCCCTGTTCTACAGCATCCAACTAACCAATTATGGCCTCATCCAATCTGTTGAGTAATAATCCTGTAGCTCCATTCATATCAGAGCCTTGACGGTAATTTTTAATTAGAGCCACAGTAAATCTGAAGAGGAAAAGTAATTTTATTGGTGTCACCTTAGTTGGGTGACAATCTTACAGCCTGCAAGCCGAATCTAATGGGAGTGTCACAGGTGGGGGCGTATTAATAGAAGGGCATCGTGCTGCTGAGGTGGTTCATTATTAAAATAGGAGATTGGTTCGCGCTTTGTAGGTAGACCAGGCGTGACGGCAAATGGTGGTGTCTCGACAGCTCAGGGCGGGTAGATGATATCACACTGAAGGCTCTTTCTGGATTTCCTCCTCCTACTTCCTATATCTTTCACCTGATCTGCTCCCATTTTCAACTAAGCTGTTAGCTGTCAAACAGAGGACGTCTAAAAAGCAGAACTGATGGAGTAACTTTATTATCCTGTGTTGCTTTTTCTTCATTTTTCATTGGCTCTCCAACTCCTGTTAATCCCAGCTAAACATGCTGCAGTGCATTACAAAACTATTTAATTAATTAATGGAAACTTCTTGATCTCACATTGGAGAAATTTGTTAATTTATGACCCTGGAACTTTTTACATATTTGGTCACTTTATGAACACAAACTTTAAAGTTAGTTTTTTTGGAGTTTTATGTGACGACACCAACACTAAGTATAAAATAATTGTAAAGTAGGGAGGAAATAATGGCTTTCTCAAAAAAAAGAGAACTGACAACTGTGATTTTTCTGACTGTATTCAAGAAAATCTGCTTTAACCGAGGCCTTTTGAAGACAGCCGATTAGTAAAGGTGTTTAATTTATACTCAGCATAAGCAAACTTTTTGTGAAGTCATTTATTAAAGAAGTGACGAATTGCATCTTCTGTTTCTCACAGACATAAAACATGAAAGATGATGTCAGAAACTGCACTTTTGGAACTCGTTTGGAGAAAACAAACTAAAATGATAACCAGTGAAAAGCATGGTGGGGGCCTTATTATACTGTCAGCGGGAACTGGAAAACTGGAAAACTTGCTAGTTAATGTAGCTAAATATTGTGCAGCTCGTACAGAAACCCTGTTAGAGGCTGTAAAAAAAAAAAAAAAAAAAAGCTGCATTACTGTTAAACATCCCAGAAAATGACTTAAAAACAGTAGGATGGTTTGGATCATGAATTGTTCGAACCCAAATTCAATTCAGAATCTGTAAGACTTGAGAAATTACATTCAAAGAGACTCACTATTTAATCGGACTTAGTGTGAGCTGTTTAGCAAAGAGAATGGGAACAAATATTTTAGTTTATAAAGCTGGTAGAGACATAAACTCAGAGATTAGCTGTAATTTCAGGAAAAGATGAATGAAAACCATAAAACATTTTTTTTCCACTTCAGTCATGCACCACTTTGTTCCTTTCTCAAACAAGCCCTAGAAATTACAGTTTCGTTGTCATAATGCAGCAAAATGTGAAGTTAAATATAAAAAAAATTGAAAAAGTTTCATTGGAACTTTGTTCTTTCAATTAAAAGTAGGATTTAAACCTCGCTTTGTTTCTCAGATACGGTGAGGAAAAGTGTCTCGGCGGCTTCGATCAACTCTCCTCACGCCGACCCGCCTGTTCCCAACAAGCCATCGCAGCTCCCCAGCAGGAAATTATCTGTGAAGAGCAAGACGTGCCAGGACTTGGGCTCCCACAGCAGCTCCGTCCTCCAGAGTCCCTCGCTGATGTCTGAGCACACTGTATGTCACGCTGGAACTTACTTATGTTGAGATTAACTCTCCCCTTAGATGATGCTCTTATCAGGAAGACTTTAATGCTGTGAAACAAAGAGCTTCTGGCGTTGGAAGTAGGAATCAAGGCTGGAACATAACTAATAACTGATGAAGGTTACAGAGGTGTTACGGTCCCACTCCTATTGATCTGGAATTAGAGACGGACATGGATTTTAGAATGGATTTTAGAATAGCTAAAGAATCAAACATCCATGGGATTTAGAGAGCTCTTTCCAATCATGTACATGAATATCATTCGTTTAGTGCTTTTGATTTATTTGAACAGATTTTTTATTTTGCTGTGGACAGTGATAATTAAAAAAAAAACACATTCATATTTGATTTTTTTTTTTGTTGTGCCATTTTTCTTCGGTTCGTATTTTCAAAAATGTACATACAAGCTGCATACATCCCCCCACTAATATTTGGAAAAAATGTCCCATAGCAAATTACAGAAATCCATCACTAAGGTGTTTTGATAGTTCTAGATAAAAACGGTTATAAACTGCTCATAAAGTTCAATATTTATGGGGTGTATGTTTACATTCCTTTCTAGATTTAAAAATGTGGCCCTAATTAAAGGCCTTCGTCACACCTTGACGATTTTGCTTTGATGCACGAAAAATATGGCAAAAACGCTGGCATACGTTTGATAAGTTATGCATTTGGTTTAATAATGATAATAATACATTTTATTTAAAAAGGCGCCTTTCTGGACACTCAAGGTTACCGTACAAAAGCATAAAAAACACAATAAGTTGTATAAGTTGTGTAAGTTAAGAGCACGCTGAAGTATACTGGCACACTTCGACATATGGCGAGTACGCTCATACGTGGGGCATAAGTTCCAGGTTATCTGTTATATGTTGTTGATGTACGTTACGTGTAAGTTACTCATAAGTCATGGCGTCTAGTTAGGCTGTCATTGGACATAAGTTCTGGACTTGTTATAAATACTCTATGTATACGCCCAAAATTGAAAAAAATATCTATATATAAAGTTCAGCATATGCCTGCGTTTTAGAAGACTCTGGGACGTCAGGCATACGCTCAGTTAGACAGAATTGATAAATAGATTCAAGGTTGTTCTTGTTTAGTAAGTAAAAATGTCAACAGGAAAAAGGCTGTTTTAAGGAAAGCAATAATGGTGTGTGTGTGTGTGGGGGGGGGCATTTTTATCTATGATGTATCCGAAGTTTTCTAAACAGGCCAGAACTATAAAACTCTTCCAATCCATCAGGTTATTAGTTGCATTTCTTTTTTTCCTCCTCTTTTTTTGTCCTAAATTGATTAAATTAGTAACGGCTCCGGCCAAAAGTAATGCGGACATTAGATAATCTTTCTCTCCTTGAAATCTGGTTGCTCAGCCTGGACTCAGGCACCCTGCCAGCGGTTTTATATTTTCACAAGGACAAAGAGCTGTCTGCTCTCCCTTGACTCTTTTTCTATGACCTCTCAGAGCTGTTTTAACAAAGTGGAATATTTTCTTTTCTTCTGCTCCATAGGTAGAAGATGTGAGTTTCTTCCTCTCCGGGGACGGTGACCCCTCCATGTCCGATGACCTGTCCTCCGTAGCCATTCCACCCCCTGTTGGAGGGGAAAGATCAGAGCTGGAGCACCCCAGGGAGTTTCCGCTGGGCTTTGAGCCTCTACGCTCGGAGCAGCTCGCTGAAATGAAGATGCAGACCTCTCCAGTGGTCAAGGATCCTTTCTGCTCACCTCTGTTGGCTCCTGACAGCATGCTGAAGGGGCTGCCGCCTGTAAACATAGTGGTAAAAATGCATTTTTCATTTAACTATCACTTCATCAAATAAAGCTTACAGGGGTAAACAAAAAGAAAAGGGTCTGAAGAAATGTTTGTTGAGGTCACTGCCTGCTCGGTGTTTTGATGAGGATGGTAGATGACGAAGAGAAAACTAGTCCTGATTTTTAAGTGGCTTTAGTGAGTCAGCGAGACTTAAAAAAAAAAAATATGAACAAAAGAGACTTGGCTGCTTTGGCTCCTTCCCTCAATCCCATAATTAAGATTCTTGACATGTCTGAAGGGAGTTTAAACGGGTTTTTCATCATCCACTCCCCCTTTTTTCGCCCTCTCCTTCTCTCTTGTCGTCTCAGGCGTGTGCGTTGGACCCCATGCTGGACGACTCGGTCATGTTTGCCAAGCGTCTGAGGAGCGTAGGGCAGCCTGTCACTCTGTGCATCGTGGACGACCTCCCCCACGGCTTTCTCAGTATATCACACCTCTCCAAGGAGACCAGGGAGGCCGCAAACATCTGCGTGGAGCGAATCCGCTCCGTCTTCAACCAGAAAGACACGCCCCCAGAGCCACGCAAGCACCGCAAGCTGGAGCGGACCGATGGGGGGGAACTGGCACCTTGTGGGGAAAATGGTGCTCTCCTCACCCGACCTATTGGGGACGCAGAGGCAGCTGTCGGGAAGGGGGCTAAGATTTCTGATGGGGAGGGCTCTGTTACTGTGGCAGCCCAGAATAACACTGACGCTGGCGGCATCGGTGCTTAAATGAGGTTTTGGGGGGGGGGCACTGCAGTTCACCAAAAGAGTGAAAAGAGAGAGAGTTGATGAAAGTCAGACTGATGTAGGCAGAGCAAAGCTTCTATGAGAACAAAGGAAAAAAACATGCAAGAAACAGAAGGGTGGGAGGGGGCAGTCTAAAAAAATGCTCAGTGTTTAAAAGATAAATAAAAGGGGGTGGAGCGCTTAAATGTATTTAATCTCAACACTACGAACACACCCACAAAAAAGGCAGTCATGTTTCAGGATGGGATGACGATTTCAAAGATTCTCAGATCAAAGATCAGCATGCCCCCACATACACACAGCAGAGCATGCGTACCTAACGGAGCCGCTGTCGGGCAGCCCCAGACATAAAGCAGCGCCGAGCTCTCCTAAGACGACGCCTGAATGGGTGATTCATCTGGGCCGAGGCAGGCCCTAATCAGATAGAGGTGGACACACTGTATGCTTCTGTGTGGAGGCATCCGCAACAACGAGGCCACTTGTCCTTTAGGAATACTCTCTAAATCACACTTAATAACTCCACATTGTCTTCCCCATTATGCCTGTTTGGCATCACCTTGTAGGAAGTAAATATGTTTTCTCTTACCAAATAGAATAATGAGGCTAACCAAGCCAAAGGCTTCAAACTAAAGAAATGTATTCAAACTGTGGCTGTTTTTTAAAACCTTATTTTAAACTCTATGCAGGACTGTTTTTATTATTTATGTCTAGTTATATTCCCTGAGTTTTGGCTGCTGTAATTTGTTTTAATGTCTTCTAAAGTTTTAAATTTATTTTAAAAACATATTTGTTTCAATTTCCAACCATAATCCTCTTTGTATTCCATTGGGATTTTAACTTACCGTCAATAGGAAACTTAAGTTTATAGAGTGCAAGGAATACGGTGATGGAACAGATCATATTAGTTTTATCTGCAACAGCTTCTAAAGCTGTGCAACATTTTCTTTCCATTTGAAAAAAAACCATCACAATATGTGTGACAAAAATGTGACAAAAAAAAAAAATCAAGGGGTATTTATAGCAGAGCAAGGCTCTTTAAAGATGTGCTTCTTTAGGCTGAACCACTGACTTCTCTGGCTCTTTCAATGGCGGCGCAGTGAACAGTAAGAGAAGGCGATGAATATTCCAATCCAGACACAAAGTTCTATTTTGACATTTGCAGTGCTGTTTCAGTAATGCAGAGAATAAAACTTAAGATGCCTTCAAGTGAAAGCAGGAAAAAAAAAGCTCTGAAATTTCCTCAAGTCATGTTTTTTGCATTTCTTTCCTTGATGAAGCGTTTTAATCATTTCAGAATATCAGGATTGGAAACAGTTGCTTGGTATCCACACCCTGAATAGAAATGGAGTTAATCTGTGGAACTGTTAAGAAAAAAAACTCAGCTTTCCATACACGTTTTTAACATGATGACACTGCTTTTCTTGTGAGTTGTCAGATTTTCTCTACTGGTGTCAGTGTCCAACCAAAGCCTCCTCCAGCCCAGGGATTTATGACCCGACAGCTTGTTTGTTTTCATAACAAGTCAGAGGCTTTTAGGCAAATCTTGAAAACCCTTGCTGTGAAAAAAAATAAAAATAGCAAAAAAAATGCATTTCACGCAAAATAGGACTGTCACTATTTTTGGCAACTTTCAGATTCATTTCATCTATCAATGTTGTTTAAAATGCACCAGAAACCTTCCGCAGGTTAGTCCACGCTGTTGCCAACAGTGTGTGTGTCTCCCGGTAACAGAGCAGAGGTTGCCAGTTCTGCAGAGAAGGATGCAGTTTGATGAATAGGATTTAGCTGATGCTCTGACTGTGAAATCCTCCCCCACCACCACCCGTAGAAGTGCAGTCATGCTACAGGATTAGACGGTTCTCTATTCTGTCAGCTTGAAGAACTTAGTGCAAAAATTTTAAGTCAGATTGACAGAGAGAATAATACACTTAGTCTGTGCAGTTTGGGGCTGAAGTTTGAACTTGTTTTGATTGTTGCTGTTAATGTGCAGTTTGTACTTTTACTGCAGTTAGTTTATTCCAAGTTTGCTTGCTGCTTATCACTGAAGCACAAACAGTTTTCTGTGTGGAAAGTATTTTATTTGTGTCATGTTTTTTTTTTAACGGCACTTTAAAGTAAACTGACTTTTCATAGCCTTGATCATCTGAGGTGGAGGCAGACTTTGATCGTCGATCCTCCTCGGAACCTTTTTTTATTTTCCTGTCCTCCCTTCAGTTTATTTATATAGTGTGATTTCACAACACATATCGTCTCTGTGTGTAATTTGAAGTGGATAGTTCAAGAGCAGCGCTACAAGTGACTGACAAGCAGAACTGCTGCTTATTTGTAAGCAAATGTAAAAGTAATGTGTCAAACATAGTGTATAGACCCTCATATGCTACATGAAAGCAGGTGACGGTTTGGGAAATACTTACAAGCAAAATTCTGCCTGTTTTTGGTGATATTTATTCCTGACAAAGCTCTGGTTTTATGATTTGAGCTCCTGAAGCTTTGAGCTTCAAACCTTTATTTCACTGTAATGCTTAGAATTGCTGACTCATAGTTTGTCCACCTCTCCTGGTGGGTTCAAAATCTTATTGCACTTCAGTGTAAACATATCTGCGTATTTTCACTGGGTTGTTTATCTTAAAATTCTTTAGTTGACCAATCGTGAGTTTATTGAAGTGCAATATCCTTTCTTCAGCTTGTAACTTTAGGATTTTCCTCACTATAGTCTCTGCTCTCTGAGTCAGAAGAGTGGCGATGCTGATTATTGTCGTGCAATACGCTTCGATAAGCTTTAACTTGAGCTTCACAAGTAATCTATCAAATCATATCTATGGTAACACATTGAGTTTGCTTTAGGTCGGCTTGTATAGATGCAGCGGTTATTATATTTACCTCAGGCACTTCACTGGAATGTTTCATCGTGGCTGGAAAGATTAGGGTGGAGTTAAAGTAGAACCAAAGAGGGAAGGCAGATGTTCCGTCCCTCCTGTTTAATGTTCAGCTGTTACCATTGCATTGCAGGTGTCGTCTAGAATAACCTGCCTGCACTCCATATGCAAATTGTGCTGCATGATTTCTGAGGAGGAAGATGTTCCTCCTTTACCTATTATAGAAATAGGTGAACAAAAAAAAGACTTGATTTAAAAAGCCATAGACTGGAAAACCGTTTTTTTTTTTCTTTAAACATTACTTTGTTGAAAACACCACAAGTGCAAACCTGTGATTAATGCTAAAAAATGTGAAATAAAGATGACTCATGTAGATATTTTTACTTTGATATCTGTTTATCAGATTGATTATTTTTTCGACTGTGTAAACTTTGATGGTTCCATAATAGACTGATGTATGAGATGAACCATATGTATAAGAAAGTTTATTCTTTTGCTGACTTTTATCTAAATAAATATATTCTCCCAGGAATGCTTCCCTGTGTCCTAGCTTATTGCTGAACTTTGTCAGTGCACAAATGAAACAACAAAAGGTTGTAATGGAGAGGTTTTCTCTGCATGGTTATTGAAAAGTTTGTAAATATATGCAGCGATGCTTGAAAGTTTACAAACCCTCCCATTAAAAAACGTTAATTACACACTAGTAATTCAAATGACACAAAACTGAAAAAAGTAATAAATAGTATATATATACACTCACCGGCCACTTTATTAGGTACCCCATGCTAGTAACGGGTTGGACCCCCTTTTGCCTTCAGAACTGCCTCAATTCTTGGTGGCATAGATTCAACAAGGTGCTGGAAGCATTCCTCAGGGAGTTTGGTCCATATTGACATGATGGCATCACACAGTTGCCGCTGATTTGTCGGCTGCACATCCATGATGCGAATCTCCCGTTCCACCACATCCCAAAGATGCTCTATTGGATTGAGATCTGGTGACTGTGGAGGCCATTTGAGTACAGTGAACTCATTGTCATGTTCAAGAAACCAGTCTGAGATGATTCCAGCTTTATGACATGGCGCATTATCCTGCTGAAAGTAGCCATCAGAAGTTGGGTACATTGTGGTCATAAAGGGATGGACATGGTCAGCAACAATACTCAGGTAGGCTGTGGTGTTGCAACGATGCTCAATTGGTACCAAGGGGCCCAAAGAGTGCCAAGAAAATATTCCCCACACCATGACACCACCACCACCAGCCTGAACCGTTGATACAAGGCAGGATGGATCCATGCTTTCATGTTGTAGACGCCAAATTCTGACCCTACCATCCGAATGTCGCAGCAGAAATCGAGACTCATCAGACCAGGCAACGTTTTTCCAATCTTCTATTGTCCAATTTCGATGAGCTTGTGCAAATTGTAGCCTCAGTTTCCTGTTCTTAGCTGAAGGTGTGGCACCCGGTGTGGTCTTCTGCTGCTGTAGCCCATCTGCCTCGAAGTTCGACTCACTGTGCGTTCAGAGATGCTCTGCTGCCCACCTTGGTTGTAACGGGTGGTTATTTGAGTCACTGTTGCCCTTCTATCAGCTCGAACCAGTCTGGCCATTCTCCTCTGACCTCTGGCATCAACAAGGCATTTCCGCCCACAGAACTGCCGCTCACTGGATGTTTATTCTTTTTCGGACCATTCTCTGTAAACCCTAGAGATGGTTGTGCGTGAAAATCCCAGTAGATCAGCAGTTTCTGAAATACTCAGACCAGCCCTTCTGGCACCAACAATCATGCCACGTTCAAAGTCACTCAAATCACCTTTCTTCCCCATACTGATGCTCGGTTTGAACTGCAGGAGATTGTCTTGACCATGTCTACATGCCTAAATGCACTGAGTTGCCGCCATGTGATTGGCTGCTTAGAAATTAAGTGTTAACGAGCAGTTGGACAGGTGTATCTAATAAAGTGGCCAGTGAGTGTATATGCCACTTATTGAGCATCTGTATTTGTTCCAACTTTAAGAATGTCACAGCGTCTGTGAGCCACCATGAGGTTGTGGACTGGGTGTTTGTTTGATTTCCTGCACAAAAGAAGGTGACAAAGCAAAGAGACAAAGGCAATATCTATTTAATCCTTAAATCTAAAGTGGGGCGATATTTTTAAGTGTAAAAATAATAAAGCTGCAGATTCATTCTACTGTACTCTAAAATCACTCTAAATATCTTAGAATTCATAAGCTGGACTAACACAAATACTGCTGAATTGTCTGTTGACAACAGTTGCATTTAATTTAGGGTACACCGCGTCCAGCTATAAACATCCAAAAAATGTGATTTTGATCTCTTCATCTTTGTAAAATGTCCTGAACAGTATTTCCCATAGAAAAAACAAAAAAACAATGCACTCTTACTCAAGACTCAGTTGCATTTTGGTTTGAACTTTAGGTGAAACACAAGAACTTGCTGGATGGTAAAACTTCTATGGTAAATTCTAATATGTCCAAGTTGATGATCTATGGCAATAGTTTTCTACCACAAATGGGATTCTGAGTCTAGACCTAAAAACCTCACTTATAGTAAACATTAAAAGACACTCCAAATGATTTGTCACCTGTTTCCCAGAACGGCCACATTTGCTTAAGTGCACAGCTAGTTGTCCTGTTTACATATTTTCTCCTCAAAGCTGCTTCTCTGATTAATATATAGCCTGTCGGTTGATCCCAGGCGGCCATGTATTGCTGCTGTGTTAAAACCCTTTGCATTTATGGCCAGGAATATTCACAGGCTGAGACATCCAAGGCCTGGATTATAGGTTTATGACAAAAAACTTTTTCACTAAAGTTTACTCCTAACCTTTCTGCTGCGTTTCTTGTTTTCCATGATATCGTTTGTTCACCAGCATTCTCTTAAAAACACATTTGAGGTCTTTTATGATAAAAAAGGACAACAAAGAAACCAAAAAACAGATGTTATACAGGTAATACATGTTATAAACTGCCTGCTTTTAATGTCACATAAAATCCCAATGACTGGAGCTTAATTACAATGAATTACAACATTTGTAAGTTTGATAGGTGCAAGTAGTTCCTTTTTAAAGGCAGTGTAGTAAAAATTATCTTAAAACCTGCAGGATTATCTTTGTAGAATGTGCTGTTCTTATTATTTTTTACAAAGCACATTTAAAAATGATCCTGCCTCAGATGCACTTGGAAACAAACGTTTTTCCAGTGCCACTACTGTAAGTTCTGAAGACTAATATGCATCAAATATGAGCAAGAGTGGAAATTGCATGTTTTCATCTGGTAGGTTGTAATCTGCATCACATTGTTGAAAAAACATTTAAATATTTAGTAATTAGATGCAATATACCAACATAAAATGGAAATTTTGTGATGCATATTTGCCTTAACATAATCACATGCTGATTATGTTTTGGTTCAAATACTATTGTGAGGACTTGCAGTTACTTTTTATCTTATTTAAAAAAATATAATAATTAATTCTCCGCTGTTTTTTTCTTTTAATCTTCCTGATAATTGATATGATTACTTTTGCAGCGGGAGGCCAGACATAATCTGCCTAGGAACCACTTCATTAGCAGTATATATATGACCTCAGATGAAAACATGATTGCAATCAGGGGGTGGCATTTTTTCTGCGTGGACGTGTCGTGGGGCCGAGGCACGAGCGGAAAACGGCGCGCGCTTCCCTCTGCATCCCACTCCCACCCCTCCAAACACTCAGAGAGGAACATCATCTCCATCCATCCATCCATCTACAACAGCTGGAGGGAGGCAGGAGGCGGGGTGCGCGCGCGCGCTTCTTTCTGCTGCTCCTCCGTGCGCGCCCCCGAGCCGGAGGCAAGCTTTCTGGGAGAGCTGAGAGAACAGACGAGCGGCTGCGGGGGAGAGAGGAAGATGGAGGTGAGGGTCGGGGAGAGACTCCTGTGGCTGGTCGTGCTTTCCACTGTGCTCTGCGTGGATTCTGTCTACGGAAAATACGTCAAAGGCATCGTCGATACCAAAGAGGTGAGTGAATTGGTTTTCTCTACGCTGCTGTCAGTCTGATCAGACTTGGCTGCAGGTTCCTCTGAGCCTCTCAGCTGGACTCTGCTTCATTTTACGCCCCAACTTCGCTCTCCTGTGTCCGTGGCTGTTTTTGGAAACACGCTCTGCTCCTCTACGGAGCGTTTGCGCGCAGTCTGCAGAAGCTGCGAACATGTTAGTGTTATGGTGACATTATTTGGGCATCATCAGGACCCGGCAATGTTTTTTCCCCTCTTTAATTAAGCGGCTGCATGTTAGGAAACCCTTTATGGTTCTATTTGTAATTTAGATGAGCCGTCACAGGTGTGCGTCATATGGGTTTTGCGCACTTTGGTTTGTGGTGAAACCCTTTGGAAACTGAGCTTGGTCCATCTGGGTCTGAGATCTGCTGTTTTTCATAGATCAGCATCACACAGATCAGAGAGGGAGCAGCTCTTAGTTTGTAATTCTGTTCTTTATTATCCTCAGATGTTATCACCCTGCAGCTACAAGTTTAACATAACAAGCTGCATAATTCTGGAAGAGTTTTTAAAAATTATTTTTAATTAAACTTTATTTAACCAGGGGAAAAAAATCCCATTGAGATTAAAAAACTCTTTTTTAAGGGAATCCTGGCCAAGAGGCACCAAAGTTACATAAGAAAAAGAGATACATTAAATGAAATGACAGGTACAATAAAAAAAACATATCAAGTTAAACAATTACAAATCATTGAGGTTGCTTCAAATTCTTCCACTTTCAACTTAAAAGCATTTAAAGATAAAAACTCAGTCAGCTTCCAGTTTCTTTGTAAAAAAATTTCAAGCACAAGGAGCTGCGTAGCTAAAGGCTTTCTTCCCTAGTTCTGTTCAGGCAAAAGAACAGTGAGCAAGAGCTGATCGTTGGATCTCAGGGCATAATGCTTTTCTGTGTAAATAAGTAAATGTATGAGGGCAGTAATCCAAGAAGGGCCTTGTAAATAAAAGTGTACCAATGACACTGCCTTCTCGTAGAGAGGGAAGGCCGTTCCACCTGAGAGCAAAGGTCACAGTGATGTTTCATGGCTCTACAGTTTGTGATGAACCTTAATGAAGCATGGTAAACAGAGTCCAACATTTGAAGACATGAAGAAGTAGCATTCTTATAAAAAAGGTCACCATAATCTTAGGCCGATAAAAACCTGGCAGAGACAAGGCGCTTTTTTACTCCAAAGGAAAAACATGTCTTATTACGAAAGAAGAAACCCAGTTTAACTTTTAATTTCTTAACAAGTTTATCAATAAAATGTTTGAAGGTGAGGGAGTCATCAATTACAATTCCTATGTATTTATATTAATCTTTTATCTAGCTAAGTTATCTAATAAAAAAAGGAAAATATTGCAAGACAGTGATCTAGAAGTTTATAGATTTTATTTGGTGTTACACTGTATGGAGTCAGTGAAATCAGCAGCTTTTATCCTTAAGTTTTAAACTCAGGCAAAGCGTTTTGGTAGGAGAACCATGCCAGCCAATATATATAGAAATGGCTGCTGAAAGCATTGCTCTCTCTTGCTCTTCACAGCATGTCTTGTCATGTTTTAGAAAATACTTTTTCTTTTTTTCTTTGAAATAGCATCTTAAATGTTAGGAACTATTTAAAAGTCATCATAATCATTGTTCATGTAATAACTATTATAATACTGATGTTTGAGGCATTGTTTTGTTGTAGTTCTCAATATCAGTGCTACAGGTGACCAGTTTTGGATGGTAGTTGATTGCACTGTGGGATGAAGGTCCTTTTTCTGCATGGCATGCTGTTTAAATATTCTCCACATGTAAGTGTTGATTTTCTCCAGCTACTTGCCTCCAGGTGCTTTGCACAGTCAAAGGACATGAAAGATAGGGATGTATCTTGCCCACGGCTAGTTCCCTGATTGTGAAGTCTGAAAAACATGGAAGCTTGTATTCTTCATTGCTCATTTATGGATGTTATGACCACTGTTGAGAAAATATAAGAATTTCTTTGCTGTTTCACAAGGAGAGATTTCTGTATTTTAAGAGCATTAAAACAATAAATATAGATGCTAAATAAAAACACAAAGTTCAGAAAACCCTTTTCAGATTTTGAAAGCTCTTAAACAGTAGGAAAGTCTATTTATGGTTCTAAGATAAACTTTGCAGTGATTGGTTATGTAGTCTTAGCAATTCAACCCCATCATTTAGTGGGTAAGTTGGGCTAAAGGGCAGATTTTACTTCTGCAACTGTACACATCAAATGTTTCTTGGGTCTGGTTGCGAACCAGTTTTGCTGGTATGCTTCTGCAACGTCAGTCTGGAATTTCTAGGGATGCAAAGCAGTTTCCCGCCAAAGCGCTAGGGGGAGCCTATTTGAGAACTCGTGAAAACTTTGGCCGTGCGGATGGGAGTGTTTGTCTTCCGAGACAACGATGGCGCATCAGCAACATATCTTGGCCACGGAGATGGATCTAGAGTTGCTAGACATTAAAGAGGAACAGGTTATCTTAATGGAGTTGGAAAAAAGACTGTTTAACCTTTCGTCGGGGTTGTCCATTTTAGTTGTTCCTTGGTTTTTAAAAATGCCGCGCCACAGCGCCAAATCGAGAAGGACGACCACACATACAGCCGGAAAGGCATACCAAGGACCAATCACAGCTGCTTTTTGTCTGTGCTCTTCCGCTTGAGGTCTGCGCAGGTTTGCGACCGTCCGACACCTAGTCAAGATTTTTATAATGTGTGCAACGATGGTTGCAGAACCTCTGTGTGGGGAGCGTGGTTGCACACAGAGACATATTTGTAGGTTGCAAAGGCTATGCGTCAAAAGCATAAATCGGCCTTAAGGCTCACTAACCTGGCATAAGCTAGATTAATACAGCTAATTAAGTCTGAATTATACAAGTATCCATCTGGAAATCCTGTCATAGAAGGTTTACACAAAAAGAAGAGACATAAAGTACCATTCCTCGAGCTTATTGGGTACCTACATCCCATATTGGGTTTTTAGCCAATCTCAGAGGAAGTAACAGCTGATACATATCTCATTCTTGATTTGTGTCATGAAGTTAAAGGTATAGTGGAGGATTTTTTTTCCCGGGTGGATCATCAAAATAAGTGGTCTTCCTAAATGTCAATCATTCTGGTGATATGTTTATGCAAGGCCGTCCTATGATCTTGTCCCCATTTTCACTTATCGGTGATGAGTCTGATATAGTGAAAAAATTGCAAATCTTCATTTGGGAAGTAAGCTTGTATGAGCGATGCAAACAGAAACTTTTAAACAGAGCATGCATAAGGAGAAATGGGCTTGTGGATGGTCTTGCACATGTTTAATAGGAGTGCCCTTTCTGGAGCGGGTGCAGGGTTGTGCATGTGCATTTTTTTTAGTGGAGAGTCTTTTCAAAAATTTCTGAAAAACCTCCACAATATGTTTAGCCTTTTACGAACCTGTACAGGATGAACGAGCAAACATCTACCCATCCACCAATCATGTTCTTTTGCTACTGTCTTGCTTCAGCCTTTTGCCTCCAGTTTTATTGAAAACATGCATGTCACTGCACCTCATTGGTCCAAAACATTTCTGTATACCATAATCTCTAAATCAAGATTCTATATTTTGATATTCATCATAACAGATAAAAAGCCACTTTGTACCACTCCTCTTCACCATTCCTGGCATCTTCCGAAAATCACTGACAAATTTTATCCCTTCGAGTAGCTTACTTCATCCATGCGCTAACTTTGAGTCTTCCTCTTGAACTAACATGCTTCTTATGCTCGATGGACTAGGTATCAAAATGGAAAAGGTAAAGAAATGTTTGTCCCATTCCAATCAATCAAATCCAATCAATAATAGATTGGTTGAGCATTTACTCAATCTAAATGGTTATAATACTAGAACCTGGTGATGATGTTCAGTGAAACTAGTCACAACTAGTCTTACCTGAAAGTAACACTAGTTGTGAGATTGATCTGACCAGTTTGAATCCCCTAGATAATAACAGACGTATGACTACATATACACAGAAAGAGCCATATATACACACATTGCAGCTGTTGACATGCCCTTGAACACTGATATTGCACCTGCCTCCGGATGGTGCAGCACGGTGGTCATGCAGCAGAAGGTAGCACTGGGCAACTTCCAAGACTGCATGTGTGTATGCCTGTGTGTGTGTGTAAAACAATGTTAGTTGCTCAATAAAAGGACAGCCTTCCAATCCTCCAGGACTCTGCAGTAACGATTTTATACTGTTAACACTGTCTGGATATGCCTTGAGACAATTGGAAATAGTTTTATACAAACTTTGGATTGTTTTCCATTATAAAAACATTATTATTTTACTCAAATAACTTTTTAAGCATATATGCCTTTTATGAGATACGTTATGTATTGAACATCTCACTTTTAAAACCCTCAGATTGTGCTTTACTGCCTCTGTGATCTCCCATTTGTAGTGCATTACAGATACTCCTGCTGATTAGAGAATTTGGAGTAGAAGAGATCTGATTTATTGATATGCAGTTGTTGCAGTATTAAGAAGGTTATCTACAGAATTTAATATCTGATTCAGTGTTGACCACACTTTAACAAGCCTAAATAAAGCTGTGTAACAAGCTGTAGAATATTTTTTGTTGCAGTGGCATAATCGCTCAATAGCTTTTAGTGCTTTTAGAAATTCAGCATACTAAATGTATTTTGTGGCAATAACTCAGCTGCTCTTTTACTGTATTTTTTGTAATCAGAGTTCCAGTAAAATATATATAATATATATATAAATATATATAATATATATATAAATATATATAAATATATATAATAAAATATATTTTCTTGTAGTCAATTAATGAGATGAAAAACAGCAGAAAAGGTTTTCTAATTTTTGGCATTTTGGAAAGGTTGTTTATACATTCGTCGTTTATACATTAGAAAATCAGAAAATTAGATCAAATTTTCTACAACGTCGTAATCAACTTAAAAAAAGTGTAGCATAAATGAAACAAATAAG